TTGACTCAAAGCATGAAAATGCGCCAATGTTTGAACCAAAATCCAAGTAACTCCCAAGACCAAAGTGTATTTTGCAGGTTTGAACCTAAAGGAAAGGCCGAGGAAGATGAACACTCTTTTTCAGTTGGATTATTACTGTATTTTACGCTTTACAATATGATCGTGTGACAGTGTGAGTTTAATGCAACTGTTGAACTCTGTCAATTAACGTATGCATGAATCAAAGTACGCTTTTAAAAAAAAAAAAAGGTGAAAGTCATTTAATTTTAGATCTTGAAATTAGGGTTTATATGGTTGGAATTGTTTTACATAATTGGAAAAGTCCGTAACAAAAGGTTGTGACCTAGCTGTCTATCAAGGATGCACAAAATATAATCCTTATTTAACAAAAACAGGTTTGATAAATAAAACCTTTGGCCATTTCTTCTCTCTCTAATTACCGAGAGGCTTTTTGTGTTTCCAATTATTATATGAAAATATTAATTACCAAAACTCCTAATTTGCCCCTAGTAACAATGGGTAATTGTTTTAAAGTTCTTGCTTGATCACAAGCACTACGAGTATAATCAATTAAATTCAAATCAATATAATATTAAACTCGAGTAAGATAAAAATTAAATTGTTCAAATTTACTTGATTAATATGTAAAAATAAGTTCAATATAAATAATCAATAAAAATTTGATTATTTATATTCAAACTCGAGTTCGAGTTCAAGATATTTTATTATTAAAATATAAAAATTCGATTAACCTCACGAATTACTTGAATCGGATATAAGAATACTCGAATTCAGCTCGATCAATAAGAGCTCAACTCAATAATAATGAAGACGAATTCAAATTTTATTCGAATTAAATTCGAATAATTTACAAGTATTAATATATTATTTACACCTCTAATAGGTGCAAAGAAAATTCTTTTTACTAGAAGTACTAACAATTTAGATGAAATTAGATTTGATTTAATTTTTTTAAATAATATATAATATTATAAATTTTGATATAAATTTAAATCGATTTTTTTAAATTGATTTAATTTGAATTAAATATTATTGGTTTGGTTCATTTGTTGATTTTTAAATTTATTTATATATATTATTTTAATATAATTTCAATATATTTAAATATATTTATATATAAAATAATTATTTTTAGGTTATAAAATTTTAAAATATGTATAAAAATTAATAAAAATATATAATTACATTCAATTCAATTCAATTTTTATATTTCGATTTAAAATTTAATTTAAATTTAATATATATTTAATGTTTAAGCGTGATTTAAATTTAATTAAAAAAATTCAAACTAAATCGAATATTATAATTATAATTTTGTTTCTTTTTTATTTTCATCCCTATCTTCACAAACCATTAAAAGAACTCGAAGCGTATAAAAAAAAAAAAAAGGACAAAGACCAACGGACTTAAGCGTGTAAAAAATGAAGAAGGACAAAGATAAGGACACATGAGTTGCAGTTAGGCGGGGGTGGGTGGAGCTGGAGGCCATGATATTTGAAACGCCCCAAAGCTTCTGTCTGTACCTTAGGTAGCATCTTTTATATTTATATTTAAATTATAAATTTATTAATTAATATAATATTTATTTTCAATGTAATTAGTTTTGGATTCAAATATTGGTTTTTTATATCTAAAAGATTTTGTAACAAAAGGGTATTTCTTTATGTGCTCGTTGAGTTAGCATTTTGCGTTTGACTCAAAGCATGAAAATGCGCCAATGTTTGAACCAAAATCCAAGTAACTCCCAAGACCAAAGTGTATTTTGCAGGCTTGAACCTAAAGAAAGGCTGAGGAAGATGAACGCTCTTTTTCAGTTGGATTATTACTGTATTTTACGCTTTCTAATATGATCGTGTGACGGTGTGTGTTAATGCAACTGTTGAATTCTGTCAATTAACGTATGCACGAATCAAAGTAAGCTTTTTTTTATTTAAAAAAAAAGTGAAAGTCATTTAATTTTAGATCTTGAAATTAGGGTTTATGTAGTTAGAGTTGTTTTCCATAATTAGAAAGTCCCTAACAAAAGGTTGCGACTTAGCTATCCATCAAGGATGCACAAAATATAATCCTTGTTTAACAAAAACAGGTTTGATAAATAAAACCTTTTGCCATTTCTTCTCTCTTCAATTACCAAGAGGCTTCTTGTGTTTTCCATGATTCTGTGAAAATATTAATTACCAAAACTCCTAATTTGCCCCTAGTAACAATGGATAATTGTTTTAAAGTTCCCGTTCGATCACAGGCATTAAGAGCATAATCAATTAAATTTGAATTAATATAATATTAAATTTGAGTTTGAATTCGATTCGATATTTAAAATTTGAAATTCGATTCGAATTCAATCGAATTTTATTTTTTTAATTCGAATTCGATTCGAGATAAAAATTGAACTATTCAAATTTATTTGATTAAACTTAATTAATATGTAAAAATAAGTTTATTTTTTATATTCGATAAAAATTTGATTATTTTTGTTCAAATTTGAACTCGAATTCAAAATATTTTATTAATTAAAATAATTAAAATATATTAAAATATAAAAATTCAATTAAGCTCACGAGTTATTTAAGTCAAATATAAGAATGTTCAAACTCAACTTGATCGATAAGTTAAGCTCTAACTCGACTCGATAATAAACAAAACGAATTCAAATTTTATTCGAATTAAATCTGAATAATTTATAAATATTAATGTATAATTTACCCTTCTAATAGGCGCAAAAAAAAAATCTTTTACTAGAAGTACTAACAATTTAGATTAGGCTAGATTTGATTTAATTTTTTTGAATAATATATAATATTATAAATTTTTAAAATTTGATATAAATTTAAATCGAATTTTTTTTTAAATTGATTTCATTTGAATTGAATGCCATTGGTTTGGTTCTATTAGTTGATTTTTAAATTTATTTTTATATATTACTTTAATATAATTTTTAATATATTTAAATATATTTATGTATAAAATAATTATTTTTATTTTATAAAAATTTAAAATATGTATAAAATTTAATAAAAATATATAATTACATTCAATTAATTTTTTTATTTTTACATTTCGATTCAAAATTTAATCTGAATTTAATATATACATCTAATATCTAAACATAATTTAAATTTAATTAAAAAATAGTTCAAACTAAACCAATACTATAATTTTAATTTTGTTTCTTTTATATTTTCACCCTTATTTTCACAAACCATTAAAAGAACCTGAAGTGTTTTAAAAAAAAAAAAAAGACAAAGACCAATAGACTTAAGCGTGTAAAAAAACAAAAAGGACAAAGATAAGGAAATATGAGCTGCAGTTAGGCGGGGGTGGGTGGAGCTGGAGGCCATACTATTTGAAACGCCCCAAAGCTTCTATCTGTACCTTATCCCTATGTAGAAGGTAGCATTTTTATATTTAAATTATAAATTTATTAATTAATATAATATTTATTTTTAATGTAATTAGTTTTAAATTTTGATATATGATAATAAATAATTTTTTAAGTATCATATTAATTAAAAAATTTTAATTCAAATATTATATAAAAAATTTTAAAATTTAAATATTTTATTATAGTTTGAGAGTTAAAAACATTTTATTTATAATTTTTTTATTATAACACTATAATTAGTTAATCACCTATAATATATAAAAAAATTTTAAATTCAAATATTTTATTATAGTTTGAGAGTTAAAAACATTTTACCTATTATTCTTTTTATTATAATACTATAATTAGTTAATCACAATAAAAAATTATGTAAAAGTCTTCACTTAAAAGTGTAGACTCTATATAATTTTTTGATAGATTTTATACAATGCTTAATTATAAATAATTAATTATGTTATAATGATTGTAAATTATATATATGTTTTCGGACCACACATGACATTATCTCATTAAAGATTAATAAGATAAGCATTTATCATATTTTTTCTTTTTCTTTTAGTACAATTATATTATAATTCAAAATAATGTAACTTTTTCTTAAGAATGCGATTGGTTTGAAAGAATTCACAAATTTTTTCTCAAAATTTTAATAGTGAATGTTTGATTCTCATATTTGATTTAGGATAATCCGATCGCAGAGAAAAATATTAAAGACTTAATAATATCCAAAATTTTAGAATTAAAAATCCACTTCTCCTTATAATATTTTAGGATTTTGAAAAGAAAAGTTATCTTATTTTTAAATTTAACTTGAATAAAAAATAATGAAATAATTGTTACCTTTTTTAAAAGCATGCCTAAAAGTGATTGAAACACAGTAGTATGTTTTTGTACCAAAAAAATATTTTTTTATATTCAATTAAGGTATTTGGCATAAAGAAACCTCATAAATAATCGTTTTATATTTTTATAAATGGATTATTTAACGTTTTTTTGTATAAAAAATGTTTTAAATAATTTTTTTATATTTTAAGATTTAAGGTTAATATTTTTATAAAAAAATTATTTAAAACATTAAATAATTCATCGTATTACTAGTTGATTCAAATGTTAACTTTAACAAAATTCATTCAGTATAAATTTTTCAATGAAATCTTTTTTTTCAATATCAGTTATAATAATTTTTATTATTATTTTTAATTTCACCGCAATCAATTTTACTGTTCATTCAAATAGAGCTTAAATGATTCCTAAATTGTATTTCAAAAATTGAAAAAAAAAAAAGTAAAAACATGAGTAAAATTGAAATTAAAGCTGTGATGGGTACAAAAAGTATCCAGTGGACCACAAAGGTCCAATGGCAAAATATGAGTGCGGTGTGATAGATTAATTACATAGTGCCTCACTGAAATTACATTTGAATACAATTATTGTGTTTTTTTTAGGTGCAGGTACATCCAAATGGACCCGTGTACAGCACCTCAACAATTATTCATTGTACCTTTTATAATTATTATTCATTTACACTTTCATTTACGTTTTTTTTTCTATATAATTTGGTTGCTCCTCTCCTCACTTACAGAACAAAGAAAAAAAAAAGGGCTTCTGAACAAGTAAAAACATGTCTCTCTTGGTTATTATGTTCTCTCTACTTTTGGCCATCTTTAGCTATAGCCTGTTGAAGTACTTGATAATGAGGAAGCAAGGTCATCGGCTTCCTCTCCCTCCAGGTCCTAAACCATGGCCAATCATTGGAAACCTTCCGCACATGGGTCCTATGCCACACCAAAACCTAGCCGCCTTAGCTCGAAGCTACGGCCCGTTGCTACACCTTCGGTTGGGTTTTGTGGATGTTGTTGTGGCGGCATCGGCTGCTGTGGCCGAGCAATTCCTGAAGATTCACGACGCTAACTTCTCCAGTCGGCCACCCAACGCCGGTGCTAAATACATCGCTTATAATTATCATGACATAGTGTTTTCACCTTACGGCTCCAGGTGGCGTTTGCTACGTAAAATCAGCTCGGTTCATCTTTTCTCAGCCAAGGCCTTGGATGATTATAGACATGTCCGCAAGGTAATTAGGGCGGCCTTTTGCTAAGTTTAAGGAAATTTTGCTAAGTGTTGGGATAGAACCCATCCTTGTTAGAATAGTAGTGTATTTAAGGTAGTTCTAACAAGTATATCCGCTTATTTCGTATCTAATACGTATTTATGTCGACACTTAAAATACAAACACATTTTTTTTTGTTTTTATAAATTTATATACGATTTATATTGTATTTTTTCATATTATTCTTATATTATATCATATATGTACAGGAGGAGGTGGCAGCATTGGCGCTTAAATTGGCGAGTTCAAGAGCTAGACCTGTGAGTCTAGGGCAATTGCTCAACATATGCACAGCAAATACCTTAGGGCGGGTGATGCTAGGTCGGAGGGTGTTCAGTGACGGCGGTGACGGTAGCCATGGCGGTGATCCTAAGGCAGATGAGTTCAAATCAATGGTTGTGGAGGTGATGGTCTTGTCCGGAATGTTCAACATTGGTGACTTTATCCCTGCTCTCGAATGGCTAGACTTACAGGGCATAGTTTCAAAGATGAAGAAGCTGCACCAGAAATTTGACAAGTTCTTGAGTGATGTTCTTGAGGAACATAAAAGGTTGATGAACAAGAGTGATGATCAGAAACAAACAGACATGTTGAGCACATTGATTTCATTTCAGAGTGAGGAAGGAAAGCTCACAGATACTGAAATCAAAGCTGTGCTTCTGGTAAGTACTTTTTTCCTTGTAAGTTTTAAGAAAATAATAAAATTAAAAATTTATATTTGATAAATTGTTAATAGATAAATTTTATATACTCTCGTTAATTATGATACCATTTCATTAATAAATTTTTTTAAAATTTAATTTTTGTATATTTATTTTAAGAGCTAATAAAAATTTATATTTTTTGATTAAGAAAATAATATCATCTGATTTATTATACTATCAGTATATAAAATATAAACTTATAAAATATAAAAATAAATTTATGAATTATTTTAAATCTTTTTAAATCTTTTAATATTTTATAAGTTTATATTTGATATACTATAATTATATAAATTTTATATATTATCAATAAATTAAATGATAATCCATCATTATTAAAAAATTTAAAAAAAATTAAAGTTTTATATATTTGTTTAAGAATTAATAAAAATTTATGTTTAGTTATTGATAAAGTATCATCATCTTTTTCATGACAAGTTGACATCTTTCCCACTTGTGCTAAATGACGTGGTTTTTTTAGATCCTCAAATTTATTTGTTAAATTTCAAGACACTAACAAATAAATTTTCAAGCTTTAAAAAAATTAATAAGTTCTGATATTTTATTGCAAGTGAAATTAAGGTTATTAATTTTTATTTTATTATAATTACATTGATTAAGTTTTAAAATGGGTAAACGCTAATTGTTGAAATTATTTAAAAAATTCTCTTAAGTATTGGATAAAATATTTATCATTTTCTTCATCCAAGAAATTTCAAAAAAATATTTTCTTTACGTTACATTAATCAACCAAAAAAATTAATTAATAAGTTTTTTTTTTGTGGCAGAACATGTTTCTTGCAGGCACTGACACGTCATCAAGCACTGTAGAATGGGCCATGGCAGAGCTCATCCGTCATCCTAAAATTTTGGCTCAAGTCCAACAAGAGTTGGACTCAGTTGTGGGCAAAGACCGGCTTGTTTCCGAATTGGACCTACCCAAACTGACCTATTTTCAAGCCTTCATCAAAGAAACTTTCCGCCACCACCCATCGACTCCGCTCTCTCTTCCCCGGATAGCAGCAGAGAGTTGCGTTATCAATGGCTACCACATCCCAAAAGGCTCCACATTATTGGTCAACATATGGGCCATCGGACGTGACCCAAATAAGTGGGCTGAGCCACTTGAGTTTAGACCAGAAAGGTTTTTAGCTGGTGGAGAAAAGGCCGACGTTGATGTTAGGGGAAATGATTTTGAGGTCATACCCTTTGGTGCTGGACGTAGAATTTGTGCTGGTATGACCTTAGGGTTACGCATGGTGCAGTTACTAACCGCAACATTGGCTCATGCATTTGATTGGGACCTACCGGAGGGATTAACACCTGAGAGTCTCGACATGGAAGAAGTTTATGGCTTGACCTTACAGCGTCTTGTGCCCTTGACAGTGCACCCGATGCCAAGGCTATCGAATAATGCATATCAAGGTTCTATTTAGTTAATTGGTATAAAAGATGATGAAATTTAAAATTAAAAAAAATTATTGTTATTAAAATTTTTAATTTTTAATTTAATAAGCGATAAATTTTTTGTATTTCAGTTATATTTAATATATTATCAGTGTATAAATTTTATACACTATAAATAAATCAAATAATGATAATTGATTAATGATGTAAATCAGATTATAATACCTTATTAATGTATAAATTATTTTAATTTTTATATATTTATTTTAAAAATTGATATTTATTTATTAATGAGTTATCATCATCTAATTCATTGATAATATATATAATTTATACACTAACAATATATCAAATATAAACTCTTTCATAAATCTCATAATATTCTTAACCAATAAGGTTTTCACTCAGATACATCACTTTAGTAGTTATATATGGCCATGTTAATGGCCTTGCATTATGCAAGTGAATAAATGTTTGTTAATATCTTCAAAGCATGAAGCTTAGATTGGACAAACATACTATCTATAGCATTGGGATTTTTCATGTCTAATTATATCCTAGCTATAATAGTTTTGTTCCTTCATATATCATATTATTTCTAAAATGTGATTTATTTATCCGTTTATATAACACTACTCTCTACTCTTCTCCCTCCTCACTTCCAAAACACTTAAAATTTTCAAAAAAACTAAAAAATTAACAAATTAACACCCATGGCTTCATTTGTTCTATACTCCATACTCCGTGATTTTCCTCTATTTCATTTTCATTATTACGACGAAGTGACAACATCTGATCAATTGAAACTAATCTTATTAAAAAGTCGAGTTTTTTGTTCAAATTTTGAGAAGATTTGAATAGAAAAATTAAAATTCATTAAACGATATTAGACACAATCTTTAAGTTCGTTTAAATTTTGAGTTAAGCATCGGAGAAAAAATTTAAAATCTAAGTCTGACCCAGTTCAAATTCACACATATATAAATTTTTTATTTTGATATATATGTAAATTATATATAAATTAATTCATATATATAAAAATTAAAAATAAAAATTACAAATATTTTTTATTAAATTTAATTTTTAATTTTTACATATATAATTTTTATTTTTAATTTATATATATATATATGTGTGAATTAATATAATCCCATTAAACTTAAATTAATCATTTTTTTTAAAAAAATTATTATATAAATTAAATTTAATTGGTGAATTTACAAAAAAAATTTTAATTTAAGTTAAACTTTGAAAAAATTTTCATGCCTAAAATTTTGAATCAGATCAAACCTAAACGAGTATATACGTTATTAATATTAAATATGAGCTCAACTCGAACTCGATTCATCCTATGAATATTTTTATTTAAAATATAAATCTAATCATTTGTAAACTTAATTATTTTATGAATATATGATATTAAGAATTTAATTAATTATAAATTAATAAATGTATCTAGTTGAAGGTATTTAATATCTATTGTCATTTATATTTAATATTTTAAGCCTAGAAACTCATTTATTGAAGGCCCGATAGATCGAGAATTGCGATTAAAAAAATATAAAAAGTTATTAATATACACAGTTTTATCATGTCAATTGTAGACTAAAAGCTCCAATCAGTTATATACAATATGTAACTAAAATTTGTCGGTCCATTAATTTTTTATAAATACAACAACAATATTATTATAAACTTAATGATGCAAGCGTGCTGATATGATTAATTTTAATGACGAATTATATTTTGATTGATTGAATTTACGGCCAACGTGATAAAAAGTTTCGGTTTAAGAATTTCTAACAAAAAATTTGTTAATATACACAAACCGACAAGACAGGCATTATTAAATTAACTTTTTATAAAAAAAAAAATTCTCTCGCTTGAATCCATACGCGCTGGTACATCTAAACGGCGTCGGTAAGTGCAAATACCCCAACTGACACAAAGGTCACCTTCTCTCATTTCCCTCAAATCTGTACCTTTTAAGCGTTTACTTATCAATCAAATGGCCACTTAAAATTAAATTTTGTCTAAAAGAAAATGATCAAATCACGAATTTTCGGTTCCTGCCATTAATTCTAGGGCTTCCCTTCCAACTCCCCGAGATGCCAAACAATATTCACCAAATCATCACAAACTCTTCTATTTCTCAACATCCGATATCCAAAATCAGTGGCCAGGATGGTCAAAGTGATCGGCATTGCCACGGGTTTTGGAACGACGCCGTTCTGTTGGCCCCGGCGGTGCTAGAACGCTAAAAAGAACTTGGAGAAGCTGAGAAATGGAAGGTCGTACGTTATGATTTCCTATTATGCCCTTCCCTGGCTTGCTACTGGACTTAATCTCGCTTGGTGTTCTCTTTAGGTGTAGCTCTGGCTTTTCTTTGTCTTTTCAATCAACAAGTATATACTTTTGGATTTAATTTTGAGCTTCATGAAAGTTCTCTTGCTCCTTCAGACTTTTTTACTGTGAATTTGGTGAACAAATCTTAAGAAAAGAAAAGAACCAAAGAAATTTGAAAAATTGAATTCTTTTTGGAAAATCTTGATAAGTATGGAGGGATAATGAAGTAAAAATGTTTGAATTTTAATTAAATATGATTTTGTTGTTTACTATTTGGCTTGCTTTCTGATTTGGTAATTTTCGAGGAAATAAAAACCAAATAGTAAAAATAAATACCAAATGGAGTACCATTTGAAAATTGTTGTGTATAAGCTACAGCTATGATTGTGGAAAGCAACTGAAAACGCCTTTTTTTCCCTCACAATTGAAATTTTTAGTGTTGGAAAGGAAAGCAACTGAAAACGCTTTTTTTTTCCCTCACAATTGAAATTTTTAGTGTTGGAATTTAATATATAGTTTGTCGCTGACTTTTGGATTAGGTTCTGATTGTTAAACGTGATTAATGAGCAGTCATGGCAATGTGCTACCGGAAAGGAGGTTACTTGGAATCTTCTGTTGCTATTAACCACCTCCGTATTGTTATGTTTATAAATCAGCTTGGTGGGTATCTTACTTCCGGAGAATTATGCAAGTGGCTGGGAAGCTTTAGCACGTACTTTCACTATCTCAGGGATCATTGTTGGTGTTGATATGCTTCTCAAGGTAACTTCCCAAGATCAGTCGACCGTGTTAAAATGTGGCATAATCATCCATGGCATGGCAATAGAACAGCAGTGATAGAATGTTAAGGTATTAAACAGCCTTTTTCTTTACTTCAATATGATGTTGTCATGCGGGAGATAATGTGAGTGAAGGGTTTCTAAGAAATGATGGTTGGTTATGCAATTACTGCTGAACATAATCTACTTGATTTGCTGTTTAGCCTGGTATCAGTTATTACTACGATTGGTAATTTCATTACTTTAAAACTCAATTTACTTCTAGAAAGAGTAGAACCTCTTATTCTTCTAGGTGGCGATAGTTGTTCTTTGCAGAATAGAAGGAACTATGAATTTATTGATCTTAATAGAAAGTCCATACATCAAGACCAAGCAATTTTTCGTTTTCCTTTTTAGTACATTTGAGGAAGTCCAGGAATCTTTGATCTTTGCACTCCTAACAGGGGTAATAATATTTGGATGACCTTTTACTTCATCTGGACAGATCTAGAAGAAGTTAAGCTTGTGATGAGGTATTGTTGCAAATCATTTGTTAATTTCAAAGTAAACCTATACTGAGTTTTTACTTGATTGGTTTTATAGGTCTAAAACGTGGATGATATATATTTATTAGTTTCCCTCGCTTGCACTCTTAGGGTATACTGATAGTTTTTACAAGCACATATCATATCGTTCGTTTTTCATTCTACATTTTGTAAATTATTCATCCATCAACATATGCAATTTCTTATGTGTTGTCATTTTCAGCCTTCTTTCTTGAATGATTCTTTTGCAGGCAATCTATATTTTTGGATTTGGGGTCCCACTCTTTGATGATGTTGGAAGCAATCACCGGACTAAGTGTGGGTTGGGGATCATCCACAAATTATTGCTTACTGCAGTTTATGGCTTCATCTTGTTTGTGCATTTCTCAAAATGGAGACAGAAATTGCCCCGTGAGTAGATTGTTAATTTGAAATGTGTCAATTCTTTTCTTGATTGCAGCAGCATTCTATAACTCCAAAATTTTTTCCAAATTATGCAGCCAAACCAGCATTCTACAACTACGTAGCTATCATGTTTGTAGTTAACGTTATTCCACTGCTTGCTTGAGGTCGTGCTGCCGTTGGAATAGGCTTTGGCATTTGGTAGGTTCTGTTTTCTTTTCTCTTTGGACCGAAGCATTCACTACTCAGTAATTGTACGTCAAAGTTCCATATTTGCATATTAACATGCTACTTATTTTCTGCAGGTTGTACAATTTAACAGTTATCTGCTATCACTCGCTTTATCTCCCTTACCTGTATGTAACTTTTCTAGCAGACTTTTTCCAGGTAATTTTCCCTGCAACATTAGTAATAAACTCTTATGGTTGCCTCCCTAATTGTGCGTTAATAATAACACAGCATGCTGTTAATGAGCAGGAGGAAAATTTTCGTTTTGATAATGCATATCACTCTGAGATGAGAGAAGCTGGGTTCTTTGATACTGATTGGGATTAGTGCATAAGCCTCTGTATTGAAATGTTTGTAATACTTGCTAGGAGCATTGGTTTCATACTTTGTAAGTAAATTTAAACTTAAAGACAACATACCTTTTTAAGTTCTGCCATTCTTAAATTAAATTGCAATCTTCTCCTTCAACACTCAACACATTTTTTTTAAAGGATAATATATATATATATATATATTTTCCATGTGCATCATAAATTGAAAGAAATTATATTTTGCAATATAGAACTAAACACTAAACAAATCATTTAAATTTTTTTTCAAAAACAATAAAATTAAAATCTTAAATGCAATTAAGGAAAATAATTCTTAAATTTTTTTCTAAAATAAAGAATTATGTTTTAACGTAGGCAATTATGACTTCCTTTGGTTCTAATTAAGATCTGCCCCGAGCCTTTTTTTTTTTTTTTTTTTTAATTCTCGCCTTTTTGTTATCAAGTTTTTTAAGAAACTCCAGATTATATGATGGCCCAAAAGAAAACCTTGTATTGGCTTTTGCCACTTTTGCAGTCAGCATTGGCATGGAATTTTCCACGAAATTTGTGAACATTTTATTAAATTAATTTAATAAATATTTTAATTTAAAATTCAAACCGACAGAGAAAATCAATAAGATGTAAACATCTTTTTGAAAATGACATTTATAATTTAAATTTGATTAAAATTTATTTAACAATGAAAATTTTATCAAAATCTTTAATAAAAATATTTTTCCAAAAGAATATATCAAAATTAACATACTTATCTGTGAACTAACATCTTTCAATTAATAGGTTTGAATTTTCAATTTTAATTTTATTTAATCGTTTTCAATAAATAATTTAACCAATTTCATGTAAAAAATTTTATCTAAATCTTGCTTATCACAACTGAGATTACTGTTAGAATAGATGCTATTAGGGTTAACTTTTTGCCATGTTTTAGGAATGAACTTTCAACGCACATATCTTAAATTAGAGGATAGCTTTTATTTGAAAATAAAGTTGATCTTTCCTTTAAAAACTTACAAGTTCCATAATTTGTTTGTGAATTGGCTTGAGCATAGGAGGGAAAATGCATAGGGTTGTTAGATCTGACCAGTAGGCCATAATAATAGTGATGGTAGTACTTTTACTTTTTGTAATTTCTTCAAAAGAAAGATTAAAAATAAGGGTGAGAAAAAAAAATGTTAGATGAAGACAATCTCACACTAAATCTTTATCACATACATACATACATATATATATATATATATATATATATCCTAAAAGCTGATAACATGATCTGCAATCAAAGGGTTAAAATAATGGATCAAAGGACTTCATAATGGCAGGCAAGAAGATACCAGCATGTGGGTACCATTACCAGGCTGGTTGGTTGAACTGCATCAACGAAGCTATCTATAGTTTTAAATAGATAACATAATTCCTGTGGTATAAAATATTATATTTATATTACATTTTATATAAAAATTATATGTTATAATTTTTATAATATAAAATATAAAATATAAAATTTATTAAATTTATTTATAATTTTTTAAAAATTTTAAATTATATTATTTTTATATTTTTTATTCATATTATATTAATTTTAAATTATTTTTTATTATAAAAATACATATTCATAATGGTCATTGGTGATCGATAAAAATTTTAAAATTGATCGGTCTTTTTTGTCATTTGTATGATTAGTAATAGATGTATAATCGATTGAATTTGAATTGATATAATATTAAATTTGAATTTGAATTTGATTTAAAATTTAAAATTCAAAATTTCACTCAAATTCAATTGAATTTTATTTTTTTTAACTCAAGATCAACTCAATATAAAAATTAAATTACTTGAGTTCGCTTGATTAAATTTGATTAACACATAAAATAAATTTTGATTTTTATATTTGATATAAGCTTAATTATTTGTATTTAAATTCGAGTTTTAAGATGTTTTATTAATTAAATAATTAAATTATATTAAAATATAAAAATTTGATTAAACTCATAAATTATTTGAATAAGATATAAAAATATTTAAATTTGATTTAATTAATAAATCGAGTTATTGAAATTTAAATTTAATTTGATAATAAATAAATCAAATTTAAATTTTATTATAATTAAATTTAAATAATTTATAAATATTAATATATCGAAAACTTTACTTTGGGTTGGGAGATTATTTATTTGCCTTCCTTTATGTACAAATCGAGAAGTAAAATCATGAATCAAACTCATTTACTACTGCAAAAAATACTTCGAAAAATCAAAATCTGTTGATCTATTTTCAATCATGATGCTCGCGTTATGAAATAGTACATGAACATAAATAAAATTTACAAAATCAAAATTTAAAAATATATTTTTCATAAATACAAAAAATATATTTCATATTTAACCTATTTATTTATATATAATACGATAATTTTTATATTTTATTTATATTTAATACAAAATAAAATATCTACAAATACACAAACGAGCATCTCTGCGTACATGAAATGAAGGAACAAAAAAGCACTCCACAAGCCGACAGTAAACAGCGCCACCGCCATCCCATCACCTACATCACTCTCTTACATGTTTTATTTTTCTTGTCCAGATATCAAATCCCCTTTTTCTATCACACTGTCCCATACTCTCTCTCTCTTATTTCTCTGACTCCCTATCTCTTTCAATCTGCAGCAAACTTTTCTGTGACTGGGAGCTCCATTGTTATCTTACTCAAGCACACTACCCCAATTCCCTTTGTTCTGAATTCATGGCTGCTTTAGTCCTTGTAGTGCTTATTCTGACCATGACTCGCCGTTCAAGTAAGCCATTTTGTTTCTTGTTTGTAGATGTTAATCTCCTTTTCTTCTTTTCTTTTAGGTTTTTATTTCTTTTTTCTACCTAGCATTCCTTTTTCCTATAAAAAAAAAAAACTATAAGAGAATTTATCTATATCCGATGGTGGACGCATTTTATCCACCATTTTTAACTATTTTGTTAGTCTGAAGAGAGTTGCACCATTTTCTCTTATGTTCATGTTTTCTTTCTCTTTCTTCCATTTTCCTCTTTAATGGAAGCTACTGAAATTTTTCATGCAGTTTCTTTCTTATTTCCTTGTTTTTCAACTAACACATTTGCTTTCCAGCTTGAGATTTCACTATTTGGCTCATCATTAAGCAAAAATAACACCCTGTGCATCCTAAAGTGGGGTTTTTTCCCTGTTAATCTCCATTAATTTGCCCTGTATTTGTTTTTCTTTTATGGAAAGAGAATAAAAATGTGATTTGGGGATTTGGGCAGGTGCCACATGGTGTGTTTGCAAGGATGGTGTGGGTGATTCAACCTTGCAGAAGACTCTGGACTATGCCTGTGGAGCTGGGGCAGACTGTAACCCTATCCATGCAAACGGGCCTTGCTACAACCCCAACACTGTTAGGGCACATTGCAATTATGCTGTCAACAGCTATTTCCAAAGAAAGGGCCAAGCTCAAGGCTCATGTGATTTTGCTGGCGCTGCCATTGTCTCTGCATCTGACCCAAGTAAATCCCTTCTCCGTCCATTTATATATATTTTTACTAAAGCAGTTAAAAAAAAGAAAACCCAAAACTTCTTTCTTTTTTCTTATTCTTGTGATTCACAGGCTCTGCTGGCTGTGTTTACCCATCTAGTGTCAGGTATGCTGTAAGCTTCTGATTGGTTCTTTTTTTCTTTTTTTTTTCTGTTTTTAACTTCATTTGAAATTTGTTAATGGAAAAAGTTTATATTTGCACTTCCTTTTTCTCTCCATCACAAAAGATTGGGTCCATCCCATTACTGTTATTTAATGAAGTATAAGACTATTAAGAACATTTGACACTGCCTGCCAAAGTAAGTAAATTTTAATTGTCAAGCTTTTAAGGTCACCAAATGCCCCATGTAATCCTAACTTTAGATTGCTGTTTCAAGCGTTTTATTTTTTTTTTTTTAACATTTCCATGTTCCTGATGAGTGCAATGAGAATCCAGCTTTGTTTTATTGGAGAGGAACCAAAAAGGATAGCTTTTTTCTCTGATAGAAATTCAACTCCAAATCAACTGTTCCCATTGAGATGCCTTTACCCAAGAATAAATTTATATTCCATACAAAATCCAACACTTTCCTGCTTTTCTTCCTTTCATCTAGGATCGTGTTTTAAAGCTTTCAAGTTCAGTCATTAAAGGCCTCTTACAGTGTGATCTGTGATGCCTTGCTCCCCAAAGTGGGCCTAAACAAGCTCTTTTTGCTTTTTTTACTCTTATTACAACTTAATGGTTGATGATGCCACATCTCATTGGTAAAGTAAGAGTGATTTAGCATTGTAGTTTTCACTTTGATAAAAGATATTGCAATTATTGGGATCTATTGCCCCCTTTTGCTAAAGGTTAAGTTTGATCATGAGTGAACATTGTAAAGGCTTCTCATTTTTAGTTTGTAAATTAATATGGTCTTATTTACTTTTATTAGATGTTCTAAAATTATGTATTTTTTATATTTAAAACTCTTTCGTTTTTTGTAATTTTTAAGAACTTCTAACATTAAAATTATGGAATTTCAATTTTATAAAAAAATTAAAAATTTAATGCTCAATATACTAAAGTTAACACTTTTTTTCCTTGAATTCCATAAAAATCAAAGCTATAACTATATCAAGTTCACGTATCTCATCCCAAAATTTTCCTTTGGCTTTTTGCCACCAGAAGAATTTAGTCTTTCAAAAAGTGACCAAAAAAAATGATGAAAGACTTTCTTTTTTTTTTTAATTACTGTACATTTAGTTATGTGTGTATAGCATGGGATGATGCTGCCTTTTTAGGGCCATGTCGAGTCAAAAAACTGTGACCACAAATAATGAGTGAAGAATTTTGCTGATAGTAGAATTTGCAGCAAAAAACAAAAAGTGTTGCCACCAATTTCATGGTGGGGCAGCCCTCTCATTTGGGTTCTTTTTGATTCTTGGATCCACCTGATCTGTATGCCCTTGGCCATGAGAGATGGACAAACATTTTCTTTGAGATTACAGCTCAACTTGTTGAAATTTGAGATGCCTCAAAGGTTGTGCATGTGTTGTCCTTACGCTACACTTGGGGCTGCTCTTGCACACATCAGTTTCATGGGAGCATCATTCTGCTGTTACCGTTTACTTCTTGTTTTTCTTCTTTTCCATTGTTTTTTCTTTTCATCCCAGCTCCTTCCTTTCTCTAGCTTTTAACCATGGTAATTCACAGTAAAAACATATCTCAAACGCATATTTATATTAATTGTTTTCACCATAAAATCTTGTCTGTCCATAAATATGAGTTCCATGTAAGTTTGACATAGTACAAAACAATTACAATGGACAATAATTGTATGAAAGTTTATCATAGGAGTTTCATTGCAGAAAAAAGATGCTGATGGCTGTAGAATTTGCAAAAATGAGCCTCTCTTGGGCTGAGTTATGATCCCAGACTTCTGTGAGAGTTATCATGGAATCTTGACATGGCTCAATTATAGCCCATATTTTTCATATATTGATAAACATCTTTTTTTCATGGCATGGCAAATGGGATGTAAGCCTAAATCTTTATTAAATATTAGACCAAATGCATTATATCATGCTTGTAAGAAATTTCCCATATACGTTGTTTCAGAAGATTCAAGATTTAAACAATTGTCTCAACAAAGTTCTAGCCAACTTGTCTATGCATTATGTATGATTTTGTTATATATTTCATTGCATCTGAATTTTTTTTTTTCTCCTGGATCAGTGCTGCAGGCACCACCACCACAACGCCTGTCACAACAACTACTCCATCAACCACCACAACACCCTCAACCATGACCCCAAGCACCACCACCCCAACAAGCACAACACCATATGGTACAACAACACCTACCGGGGTGTTAGGAGGAGTTGGCACCGGCTTAGGCCCTTCCGGAGCAGGGATCAACACAGACTACAGTGATGCAGGATTCAGGCTCCAACGCTTCTCTTCCTTCACAACCCTCTTGTTTTCTGGCTTGATGCTATTGTGGGGTTGAAAAACAAAAAACAATGACTGGATAGATTGTGCGTTGTGGTAGTGGGTGGTCGGTGGTTATGCTGGATTTCTATGTGCATAAGTTGGTACCCATGTGATTCTGCTGTTGTTATCTTCTTCACCCCCCCCCCCCTCCTTACATGAGCATGGAAATGGGGGTTTTTATTCCCTTTTAAATCATGGTTTTTCAGGTTTTATATGTACATCTAGATCTAGAATGCAGTAAATTATTAATTTGAAGAGAATTAGGCACTTAAATCATCCTTGGTTGTTAGTAATTGGCGCAGTAGTATTTTCAGAACTTTGGTTGTCTTTTATAAATTAGTTGGATTCGTCTATATGTTCTTTGCTTATTTCAGCTTTGTTGTCATCTTGTTTGCGTTCTTTTCCATGTTGGTAAATGCTGAAACTTGCCTGTCAGTTTGGCTTATTGCTTTCCTTTAATATAGATTTGTGTTAATTTCGCATTAAATATATATAAAATATAAAAATTATTACATCATAATTTATGTTTATGTATTAAATATGAAACATATATTTTTATTTTTAATTTCATATTCAAATTTTGTCAATTTTAAATCATATATTTTGTGTCATGATATTTAAAATTGTCTAAATATTTTTATGACATGGAATGCTTGAACTAAAAGCAACTTGTTGAATATCTTACATAACAAAGATTTGATGTCAACAATATAATTAATTTTGCCGTCACTGGTGCAAATCAATCCATGGTAAATGGCCTAATAGGATGTGTTGGACTAAATTGCCATTAATTTTGTAAGTGTAAATTTTTGTTAAAATATGAATTATTATTTCATTATAAGTGATAACGGCTTGGGTTTGATTTAGATTTTTTTGATATTATATAATATTATAAAATTTTAAAATTTGAATTAAATTCAAATTATATTCATTTAATTCAAATCAAATTAAATTTTTTTGATTCAGTTTATAGGTTTTTAATTTTTAATTTTTTAAAATTTTATATATTATTTTGATATAAAATTTTAATATATTTAAGTAAATTTTGATATAAAATTATTATTTTTATTTTATAAAATTTTAAAAAATATATAATTTAATTTAATTTTTTTATTATTTATTTTTAAAAAATTAGATTCAAATTTAATATTTAAATTTAATTCGAATAAAATAAAAAAATTAATTTAAATTAAATTAAATATTATAATTTTAAATTAATTTTTAAAATTTTCTTTTAAATTACCATATAAAAAAGTATCATTTTTGGAACACGGTACGAGGTGGAGGTCTATTTAGCACGTGAATATGTCCATTCTCTTGTCTTTACTAACGTTTCTAGATTAATCAAATTAAATTGTTTTTTTTCTTAGGTTTTAGATCTATCATTCCATGGATATGGACTCCATTATTGTTCTTCCCTAATCTTCTACAAATAAAACAACAATATCATTATTATTCTTTCCTAGCCAACTTGTAAAACCTTGTTTGAATTTTTATTACCAAGTCTTAAAAAAGTACATCACATGGGGAATAGTTATTTGTTTTTAATATAAAGAAGAGTCTAGGTAGGATTGATAATCTAATCCGTTTTTGATGAGTTTCAATCTGACATGATCTTATAGAATTTATTTTATTTTTTTGAAATTCAAGTTTCGGGTTGAATCAGAGTGAGTAAAGTTAAGAAATAATCGGGATCAAATCAGATTCGAATTTTAGACAAACTCGATCAGACTTGATCTAATATTATATAAATTTTTTTTTTAATTAATTAATTAATTATTTATATATATATTTATATAATGATATTTTTAAATATTTATATTTAAAAAATAATATTTTATTAATTTCGAATTGAATCGGATACGATTTATATAGTATCTAGTCAGGATTAGGTTTGGGTATGAAAAAATAAAAAAAATTCAGATATGATCGGATTCAGATTTAATAACACATAAAATCGAATCGAGTTCAAAAAAAGCAAAATTTACCTCGAATTTGATCCGATGTCAACTTTAATCTCAGATTAAGGATAGATAAAGTGTTAAAAGTTAAAATTTAAAATTATTAAAATATTTTATTTTAAAATAATTATATAAATCATTTAAATTAAATTTTAGATTCATAATTATTGTTTGTTATAGAGAAAAATGAAAATAGTAAGATATGTACTATTAAAAATGTGTCATACTAAAGTACTCTTAAAATGATGAAAAATCATGATAATAGGCTGCAAAACTTGCTTAATTATAAAAGAATTCGTAATTTGAAATAAGAAAATTGATTGTAAAAGTTAAAATTAAAATTAAAATTTATTAAATTTTATTTAAAAGTGATTATTCTAAAAAATTATTTTTGGCATATAGAAGGTCGTAATTTAAGTATTTTAAAACTTTATATGTATATATTTTTTTTATTAAATAAATATATAAGGAGGATTTTTGGTATATTCGGTTGACACTTGCTTTGTGATTTTTGGAGATGTGGACTGTTACTTTAATTCCATGTGGCATTTAAGGTTTTTGGTGGGTTAGCGAATGAGTTGGGTTGGATTTTGGGGATTCGGGCTTTCAAAATGGGCGTTGGGATGTACGATAATATTGATTGAGTGGGTTTATTTTTAGACTTTTCTAATTTTTGATTTGAGTTTTATGGGTTTTAGAACTTTTGTTTTAGATTTTGGGCTTTTTAATTGGACTAGAATAATTTTAAAATTTTTGGATTATTTTAAATGATTGATTTATTATATTTTTAATTATTAATTTTAGATTTAAGGGTCAAAAATCTCTCGAAAAAAAATATTTATTAATTAAAATTTTAATATTTTATTGCAATCAATTAAAATTTTTATATTTAATTTTTTATTAATTAAATCTAAATTAAACAAAAAATAATTAAATAACTATTAAATTCGTTACTGCAATTACATGTAACCCCCGTGGATTTTAAATACAAATGTGAAAATAAAAAGTCTTATGGGATTAAGGGTGGCTGGTTCTATTTCTTGATTCTTTTTGTAGAGAGTTTTAGATTTTTTTTTTTTTTTAAGAAAGTTTGAAATGAGCTAGGAAAAAAAAATTTAATTTAAATAATTAAAAAAAAAGAAAAAAAAAGTATCATGCCTAGGGTCAATAATTTAATTAAATCTCGACGGTTTCGATCTGACTCGATCTTACGGGGTAAATTTTTTTTTTGAAATTCAAGTTTCGTGTCGGGTCGAATCGGATAAGATTATGAAACAATCGAGATCAGATCGGGTTCGAATTTTAGGCAAACTCGATCCGATCTGATATTATATAAAAAATTATTTTTTAATTAATTAATTATATATTTATATAATGATATTTTTAAATATTTTTATTTAAAAAATAATATTTTATATTTTTAAAAAATAATATTTTATTAATTTCGATTCAGATCGGATCGGGTGCAATTTATATGATATCAGATCGAGATCGAATTCGAATATAAAAAAACAAAAAAAAATTAAAATATAATTAAATTCAAATTTGATAACACATAAAATCGGATCAAATTCAAAACGAACAAAACTCACTTTTAAACTCGACTCTATGCCAACTCTAATCAAGCCATACTCGGTTCTATTGTCATGTTGGATTTTTTTTTCTACGTCACATATCACGTTTATATTTAAAATCTACGTGGGTTACTTGTGGTGATAGTAATAGCTTTAATAGTTACTTAATTATTTTCTCTTCAATTTGGGTTTAATTAATCAAAAATTAAATGCTTAATTAATAAATAATTTTTTATTCAAGAGTTTTTTTTATCCTTAACTCTTGGTTTTATATAAAGGACTTATATAAAATTATTTAAATACTTTGATTACAAGTTTTTTGAGATTCATTATTTTTGATAAATCATAACATTTCTCCAAAATGCATTTTTGAAAGTGCAAAAGTGAAATTTTATGAAAAATTATGAGAAGAGAATTTCATTAAAATTATTTATAAATCAGTGTAATAAAAAATTATTATTAGAAAAAATTATAAGCTTTAAAATTAATAAAAAAATTACTTTTATTATTTTGATTTTAGAGAAAATTAAAATTTAATATGCTAATTAAAAAAATCCATCGTGATAAGTAAATAGAGATATTTCTTCAAAGAATTCAATTTAATTAAAACTATTGTAAAATTTAATAATTGATAAAAATATTTATTAAAAAATAATAAAATTTAAATTTATAAAAAAATATTTTTACTATTTTATCTTTAATTTAATTAAGATTTCATAAGATATTTTTCTTTTTTTAAGATGAAAAAAGTAAAAGAAACTTTTTTATTAATTTTAATATTTACAATTTTTGAATAAGAATTTTATATTATATTTATTTATAAATAATTTTAATAAAATTCCCTTTTTTTTTGTGATTTTTATAAAATTTCACTTTTTATTATTTTTGCAAATTCATTTTCCAGAAGTATTATAACTACTCGAAAATGTATTTTTGAAAATTACAAAATTTGTAAGAAAGATATTTAAATAACTTTACTTAAAAAATTTTAAAAATATATACGGTATATAGAGAAGAAGCGAGGTATATTTAGATTTTCCCTTCCATATATATGTTTTGTATTTACCAGATTTAAATCTTAATACAAAAATGTTTTCTTGAAATTTTAATAATAAAAATATATAATGTCAAAAGGAGTCAATTTTCAGTCAAACCAGAGTCGTGCCCAACCTGATCCTTCGATGAATCCAACGAGCCTGACATGTCCCATGTACACCTCTGCACAGAAGTAATATTGCAAAAAAATTTTGCTTTTAGATTACATGCAAATTCACAGTTTTTTTTTGTCCCCGTCTATCCCTTCTGTTCTGCTTTTTCCCGTTTCTAGAGGGCTTTTTTTTTTTTTTTCCAATTTTGTTTCACTCATATTTATATATCATTGCTTCATTAGCGTATGCTTTCATTGTTTCTGAAGTGCCATAACCGGTTGGTGGTTTGGGTTTCTTTTTTATTTTTATTTTTGGTTTTTGGGTTGCTTTCATGAGTTTGTCTAAGTTCAGTTTCATGAGTTTCTATGTATTGCCTTTTTATTATCACCTGGTTGTGTTGCATGTCAGATTCCTGTTCTTTTCCTTCATTTTGGTTCCCTGTTATGTTCTGTTTTGCATTTTGGTTGTAGTTATGACATTTTAGGATTATGGTTCTGCAGATTTGTAGGTTATGGATTATTTGTCAACTTCAATGTTGATTATATATCTCTTTGGTCTTCTGTTCATGAATTTTTTGCAGCTTTAATTGGTTTTGATTTTGTTTTTTCCAGGTATTTTTTTTCAGATATTTATTATGTTTTCATAATGGTGCTTCCATCATGTTTTTGTCATTATTTTAGGTACCGTTCTGGTGAATAATTTTCTGAAGCACATTGAGGTAATGTAATTCAATTTCAACCCTTTTGATTGTTTAATTTTTTTTATTTTCATTAAAATACAATTGTAGTTTGTATTTGTTATAAAATACTAGTTCTTTGCTTATTCTGAGCCTTAATGGAGTATAATATTTTCATGTGATTTGTTATTTAAATGCTTTGTTTACAGTTTCTGTTTTAGATAGCTCATTCATCGTGAGAAAAATAAAGTTTTAACTTTTTTTAATCAACCGATGGTTGCTCATTTTTTCTAGGAATTTTATTGTTTTTCCATTAATATTTCATCTTATGGATACTTTATGTTACATGCGTATTGTTATTTGCATTTGATGCTCTATCTTAGATGTGAATCACTACGATTAATGTTATTTCACCACAGCTTTTGTTGATACTTGCTACTGTCTTTGGTTTTCTTTGCTGCAGGAGCGTTACTGATTTTGTATATAAAGTTGTGTTGTCTCTTTTTGTTTAAGGTTTTGAGTTTTGCCTTTGTATGCTATGGATTATAATGAACGACTAAGGCAAAATAGGATTAGAAGATTGGAAAGATATTTAAGTTTGAATAGATTAAGGCTGTATTCAGTCCCTATTCAATATATCGGAATCGAGGAAAGTGATCAAAGTATTTATGTTAATCAAGCTAGGAACAACCGCATTGCTAGATTAAATATAATTAGATCTGCTAGATTAAGACGTCATGGAAGATCTCTGTCTGATTCTAGGAACATGAACGTCATAAACTCAACAAATGCTTTGAGTATGCAGTGTGAGGATAGTGTTGAGTCATTAGAACCATGGTTATCACGTAGATCTTCGGAACAAAGTGGCACGACATCTTCCAATATTAATGTCCACACTGGAGATTCTGTAAGAGTCCATTCTACTGCTGGTGCTGATGGAGAATTGCACATGTCAAGAAACTTTCAAGGTAAGAAATTTCTTTTCCTTGCACACATCAGAGATTAAATTGCTGGAAGTAAAGAATTGACATATACATCATGCTTTGTTCTTTTGCATCATTTATTAATGCTCTTAAATTTCAAATTATATTGAGGCATACTTATCATATATGGTTCAATTGAAGTTTGAACTAAATAAAGTAGCACTTGCAGTTGACTTTAAATTGCATTAATTCAAAATCAGTGGCTCTTAAATTGTTTCCTGAATTTGTACTTCTTTTCGTTTAATATGCAGTTAATAGTTCTTTATCTAACTTACAGTCATAATATGACTGCTATTATTATCTCTGTTTCAGATAAGAAAACTTCTGAATGTAAGAACGAGCCCCAGAATGCCCTCACATCTGTTGAAAGGATTGAAATGGTAGAGAATGCTACTGAGTCTACGGACTCACAGTCAACTGATGCTCCACCTGTTGCTTGCTCAGGCAAGGAATTTTTCAACATATTTAGTGGTATCCTTCTTTGGTTATTTGGTTCTAGTTACTGATTGGAGAAGCATGTGTTTATTTAGTTAAACCTGAGTACATTGCTATTGTGGAATGCAATCTGTTGAATGCCTGGCCCAGCGTTTTGAAATCCTTTCCAAATTACCCTGCTCTGGAGCCTACGTGGTGGTGAGTAGCTGACCATTTAATCATGTCCCATGGTGATTTGTGTATAAGCATTAGAACATATAGCTTAAGTGAAAGCAGTGAAAAGTCTTAAAGCTATAATTTATCATTGAAGTTGCTTTGAAGGAAGAACTCAGCATGTTACCTCAATAGCAAAACTTAATAATCTGTGCAGCCAAAAATATCCTATGGTTCTCATTTATTATACACAAGAAATTGTATATGTAACTGGCACAATAAGCAAAAAGTTTTCTATAATAAACACGCTTCAAGGCTAATATTCTGTGGATCTTTTCCTAAAAAATGCCGCTTTTGAGGTTACATAACTAGGATCTACCTGGTTTGTGAACGTCCTGATTTACTTTCCTATCCACCTCTTTTGTAGTGGTAGTTTTGAGATTCTCGATTCAGTTTCTCGTAGTGAATTTTTTGATGGATGCCTGGCTCATCCTCCTGGTAAAGTCCATCATAAAGCTTTAGAATTTTCAAAGCCAATGCCTGGAGTGCTGTTGTGTACACTGCTTCCTGGTTCTGATGTTTGGGTGGATGTTTTTCATGATGATTGTCCAAATTTGGAGGATGTTTCTCTGTATTTTTTCCCTGACAGTTATGAGAGGTATAATTCATGATCCTAGTTTTGGTTCTTTATATCTATTTCTGTATATGGTGTTATGCTTACGATACGCTTCTCTTATCAAGGTCTAAGCAGCAATATACTCACCTATTGGGTCACATGGAGACACAAGATCTGGTAATAAGGAGCTGTGTCGATGGTGTAGAGCTGCTGATTTTCTCATCTACAAGGTTGCATGGAGATTTATGTGGTAAGCTCCACGAATTCTGAACACACATGCACTAGGATACTTGTGTGTATGGATAAAGGACTTTTGTTGGATATCTCTCTCTCTCTCGTTAAAGTTAGTTTAAAAACTTTCATAATATGAAATTTCCTATGTATGGTCTAATTTATTCTGTTATCATCAACATGCTTATATGTGAATAATGCCTTTGTTTGAGTCATTAATGTTATATGATATATCCTCAATTGACATTGAAACTGAAGATGTAAAACAATAGAATGAGATTGGGGAAGAAACGTTAACATTGATAAAAATTTTTCAGTACAATTAACTATTAAAGTTTGCAAAAAGTGTTTGTAGAGATTATATTTCATTTATCAGCAGAATAAGTTCACTGTTCATTGTTTCTATAGAGATGACATGAAATTGATGCTCCTGAATGTTGGTGTAGGATTGAAATTGAAATTGAAATTCTTATGTGGAGTATGCCGTCATTTAAAAAGCAATACAACATTTCCTCTGCTTCCTGTCGATGATTTGAAATCTCAAGAATGCACACAAAATTTTTATGTCAAGACCATTGGCAAGAAGTATTTACCAAAGGTCAAAACGGAGCAGTTTGATGTCCTTGATATTGGTCCTGTGTTTTCGAGAAAAGCTGCCGATGATGCTGCTCCATGATAGTCTTGAGATAGTAGTCAGCAAGTTTAATGAAAGTGAAAGATACGGTCATCAGGTCTAGGTCGATAGTCGATTGCGACAGAACTTGTAAGTTTTGACTAGTTCAGGTACTTCTAAAACTGTGGAAGTAATTGTTCATACAAATAACATGCAAGTGACTATCTTGGTTGTAGGTAGCTAGGATTTGTGAAATAGATAAATGGACAAAAAGACGTGACAATATAACCTGCCAAACCCTTTTAGAAGATTGGAAATTGTATCATCTTCTATGAGGTACCGATTTAATGCATCCTGTTCAATAATATAGTGATTTTTGGTTGCTGTTGGAGACCAACTTCAAGCATTATGTCACATTGGCATTTCCTGGCATTATGTTATATTTGGATTCATCTTGTTGTAAGCTAAACAGCTGTGGCCTTTGGAGGTCATCCGGCCAATCTTGGATCGGACCGATGACCATCTTCTCGTTTGACATTGTCTCATGACCTATGCAATAATATAGTGATTTTTGGTTGCTGTTTGAGATCAACTTCAAGCATTATGTTACATTGGCATTATGCTACATTTGGATTCATCTTGTTGTAAGCTAAACAGCTGTGGCCTTTGGAGGTCATCTGGCCAATATCGGATCGGACCGATGGTCATCTTCTCATTTGACATTGTTTCATGACCTAGGTTTTTCCATGGAACTAGCTACAGCTAGCTGTTAATTCATGTACCTTCTTGTTCATTTGTCATACAAACTACAAAAATTTTAATGGTTAAAGAGTATAGGAAGTCTTTGAATTATAATTAAAAAATGATTCAAGTTTTTATATTTTTATTTTAATCAATTAATTTTTAAAATATTTATTTGCATTTCAATTAATCTTTTTGAATGAAAATTTTATTATTGTTAATTTTTTTATCAACTAAAATAAAATTTCATATAACATCAATAAAATAAATAAAAATTTGTTACATAACGCAATTCATATATATGAAAATTAAATAAAATAAAAAAAATTTTCTCTATTTTTCTTTTCTCATTAAGATTTCTTTGAAGATTTAATTGACTGTAATTCGATAATTGATTGAATTAATTTTTTCATGTAATTAGATTTTATTTAATTAAAGATTCAATTAAGTCGAAATAAAAATTAAGAACTTAATTGATCATAATAAAATATAAAAATTTTAAATAATTATTGAATTTTTGTTTAAGAAAAATTTTAATCATTTTGTCAGTTTTAGCAGAATGTGCTAACAACCTTCTGCATTTGCAGTTGCAGGCATTATTCTACAATATTTATATATATACACTCTCGCAGAGGATGCTTTAACCATTTCATTTTACAGATCCCTTCAGAGTTGCTTCATGAATCCATTACTTAGCAACAGTAATCATTATGTTGATTTGTAAATTTAATTAAAATCTTTTGTGTAAACCTTTAATGTAAGTCCTCGGTGAAGATTATGGTATGCACTGTTCCTGGAATGAGATAGTTTCGTCTCACCTAATCCCCTTTTAGCAAAAAAAAAAAAATTTAATCAGGAATCATTTTAAATCTCGATTAATTTAAAATTAAATAAAATTTCATAAAAAAATAATTTTTTTTAATATTTATTTTTTAATATTTATAAAATTTAAAATATAAAATTTTATTTTAAAAAATTAAATTCCTTAATCACTAAGACAAACAAACATAACCACTAGATACTTGAGTCACCATCTACTGGTAACTTTGTTCATGTGGGGCTTGAATTTGAGCAAATTGATGCTTACGGCTCTTTTAAATGATATGAACAAATTGTGTTCACATTGAAATTTTGGATAATTTTGAGGACAAAAATTGTACCCAATTAATTATTTAAAAAATTTTGATCAAATTTAATTATTTAAATTTTATTTATTAATTTAAAAGAATTTGTGCGTGTTTTAAATTTATCAAATTTAAATTTTTTTTAAATTTATAGAGTCAAGTTTAAATTTTTTAAAGAAAAATATCAAATTTATCATAATAGATTAGGAGTTTCATATTATCATTCTAATTTTTTATACAATATTTTATGTAATTTCATCTAAATTAAAAAAAATATTTCGTTAAAATTTTAATTATTATTTATTTTATGAAAAGTAAAAAATATTTTTATTTTAATGTTAAATAAAAATAGCATCAATAATTAAATTAAAAAAATTAACTTTTAAATTTTTTTTTTTAAAGTAAGAATAACTTTAAAGTAAATTATTTGAGTTAAATCGACTTTTTTTGAACCAATAAAAAAAAAAAGTGTCAAACGGTTCAAAAGTTGTACTTGCAGCGATGGCTTTCTGGTTCACTTGTAACATTTCTGTCTTCTCTTTGATTTTCATTTTTTTTTTTAAAGCAAGATTTATAAAATTTTAAAACTTTAAATTATGAAAAAGCAAACCAAAAAATGTGAATCAAAGGAAAAAGCATTGGGGAGGATTAACATTGAAGAAAAACAGAGTCCCTGTCACACTTCACTTTCTGTTCTAAGCAACTCAACTTGTTCAACAGTGACTGTAGTTTTATATAATCTCCTGCTGTTGAAGCTGTCGTTTTATGATCGTGATCTGCCATGGACACACCCAAAAAGCTTTATTGATGAACCAACTGGTAAAAGAACTAAAACCCTTGAAAACTTAAACCCTTTGCTTCACATTTTATGGTTTAATTATTCATCAAAATTGTCTTTTTTTTTCCTTGATATCCTTGCAAATTTTCTCATAATTTGTTGGTGTTATGGTGAATTATATCTTTCTTTTTCTTTTTGTTAATTGTTTGCTAATAATTCTAACAAGTTGGGTCGCTAGATTCTTGTTCTGTCTCAAATTTTCATTCAACTTTTTTTTTTAAATTTTTTTGTACATATCTTTATTATTATTGATGAAGCACTTTAGATTATATTAGTTCCAATTATTTGACTTAAAGCTTTGGGATAGTAAGAACCTGCATGAATTTCATAAAAACACAAAAGAAGTACTAAAACATTTACTACACTTCATGTTTCATATTATAGCATTGATCACATAATGAAAACTATTGAAAAGGAGGAACTAACATGTGGGATTCATTGATATATTGTTTGTATATAGATTTTTTCATGTAGATGTGGAAATTGTTTTAGATGAATGGAAAAGAGTGTTAAAGTTTACTAGAACAGTTGTTTTTTGGGTTCATCTTGTATTTCTTTTCATGGCTAAACTTTGAACTTATCAGAATTCTTGGCCTAGCCGGCTTGAATTTTGTTGGTTTTTTAATTATTATTGATCTTAATATCTACTATTAGCTTAGCTGACTTGTCAAAATCTTCCCTTATGCTATTTATACTTTATAACATTCTCAATTTATATTATGTTATTAATGCCATTATTGAGCACTACCTGTGGTGCCAACAAGGATCACTGGCTATGCAAAGCTAAGTGAATTATGTTAGGCTGTAAAACGGGTTGAATGGATGTTACACACTGGCGTAGAGCAGTGATTCTTACATTTTATATGCAGATAAGACATTTCGCTTATTTTCTGTTCTTTTTCGCTTCACAGGATGATCCTTGTGATATATGTGGTGATGTAGGCTTTGCAGAGCATATTGTAACTTGTTTTCAGTGCAAAATGGCAAAGGAACACGGGTGTGGCTCCTCTTCCCTTTTGCCCTATGCTTTGTTTTGCTCGAATTGTTATTTTGTGGCTTTACATTCTGCTTGACAGCCCAGAGCGTAAAGCGCTCCGGCTATGCGCAGAGTCCGGGAAAAGATCTATTGTATGCAGTCTTTCCTTGCATTTTTTGTAAAGGCAGTCTTTCCTTGCATTTTTTGTAAAGGGCTGTTTTCACGATTGGAACCTGTGACCATCAGGTCACATGGCAGCAACCTTACCGATTGCAACGAGACTCCCCTTCAAATTTTATGAGCATGATTTATCATAATTGAGGGATCATTGTTAGAAAGACTTGGTTAAGGATGTTAGGCACTTTGGTTGCTACCTGCTGTTGGATGATAGAGATTCCTCATCTTGACTAGCATGTCATATTACTCGTCCTTTCTTCTTCTTCTTTTTTCAAATTGTGCTTGTTATGATTATTTTATAGTAAATCAATTGAACACTAATGGTGAAAGTTTTACCCTTGTTTCTCTTTTCTTCCCCATTTTCAGCTACCGCATGCGAGAAGTTCTCTTGACTATCCCAGAAATTTGGTTTTGTGAAGAATGTCGATTAAGCAAGGCCATAGCTTCTTCGAAGTCTGTTATAGTGGAAGATGTTCCTGTGTCTTCAACATCAATTACCTTTGAGTGTGTGTGTACCAGCCCGGTTCTTAAGCTTTCAAAAAAATCAGTTCATGATAAAAGAGAAATGGCTTCAAAATCAAACCCCTCTAAGACTTTGAGTCCTGGGGGGTTTCTCAAGAATCAAGAGAGATCAGGTCATGCTTGTAAACAAGTGGCTGCTAGAATTGGGAATGTCAAAAAGTCATCAGGCCCATCAAAATCAGAACATTTACCGAGATATTTGGTCTCAAGGCTTGACCAGTCAAGTACCATGGCAACGGTGTCTAAGAGCAATCCAACTAGGTTTAAAGCTGCTCCTGCAAAGTTATCTGTAAAGAAAATTAAAGCAAGTCATGAACATAGAAAAATAGGACATAGCAGTGCAAGGTTTGGCTCTAATACTCAACAAAAAGCAAACCAAACATCAAAAAATTTAAAAGGTGAGAAAGCTCTTTGCATGCATGTGTCAATGATTGAAAAATTGATTGAAAATGATAACTGAATCTGCTTACACATAGAGTAGTTCTTATGCATTATTTATATTCTTGCTCTGAAATCTCAAATTTCATTAAAGCATATTGCCTATACATGATAAGAAATATGGTTCTAAGTCAATCGAAAGATGTGGTTGATTCTAGGTTGAATAAATTCACGAACAATGCTTCTTTTAGTTTCATGTGCTGTAAATATATCTTTTATATGCTCAATAGTCTAATGTGGCTACTATTGTGATTTCTGCTTCAGATAAAAAAACTTCTGCCATCTGTGAAAAAAAGACACATGCTACTTTCATGCCTGGTGAAAAGATTGAAACCTCACGGTCACAAGGAAAGGATAGTGAGCAAGTCTCTCCAGATGGCTTTGTTAGCTTATCTGTAGATATGATAGCAAGCACTTTAGCCGAGCGGGATCTAAATGATATAGCTCGGAAGTATCACATAGACACTATTAAGTACCATCTTTCTCTCCCCAAATCATCCCAGAGAGCAAACTCCAATTTCGCACGCAAACACACCTTTTGCATCTATGCTGATGCCTTTAAGGCCGGGCTTCGTCTTCCTCTTCATCCTCTAATTCCAGCAATCCTCCGTCAGTTTGGGGTTGCTCCGACTCAGATTACTCCAAACTCATGGAGGGTACTGATTTGTTTTATTTCCTTTTGTTGTTCTCAAAAAATAACTCCTACAGTGAACCTCTTTCGTGCAATCTACTCTCTCAAAGATCACTCTGGGGACGGCAAGGGGTGGTGGTTCTTCTGTGCTCGGAATGGGTTAAAGTTGTTTGATGGTTTTCCAAGCTCCACCAAGGGATGGAAGAGTATGTTTTTTATAATTAGCACATCTGAGATGGACTGCTTAAGAGTTAACACAAAGTGGGGTCATCCCAATGGTGCAGCGAATCAGTCGTTAACTCCTTCTGCCGAGAAGGTCAAATCATTGGGTGATCTTCTTGCTGCAGCGACAAACAACCCACCTGACTCTAAGGTTTTGTTGTCAGAAGAGGCCTTGATTCAAGCGGGGATTAGTTCAGCCTTACTAAAATCGAAGGGGTCTAAGGGTGGTATGATCGATTTCCTTGGGTTCTGTATTTTCCTTATGTTTTATTTAAGTTCATGCTCTTGTTTTCTTTTGATGCAGAGGTGAAGCAGCATCATAGCTTATCTCAATCAGGGCTAGTGAGGACCTTAAAGAGACAGAGAGCTGCCACAAAGGCTGGGAAAAGCTCTTGGTCTGCTCTTCCTTGTCAAGATCCAATCTTAGCAGATGAAGATCAGGAGGGTCAGCCACAAACGAAGAGGCCAAAGGAACCTCAGCAACGTATGGAAGAAACGGACTTATTGCAACCTACTGAGCTAACTAACCAGCCCCAAGAGATTGTCTCTCCTGTGACCTCAGCTCCTCTAGCTCCTAATGGTTCGCCTCATGAAGTCGTGCCCCAGCAACCTTCCCTTCAGTTTAGTATCCAGCGCATTGCAGGATCCTCAGCTCCCACAGTTAACTGCAATTCCTCTGGTATTGCATCAGGTGATTTCCCACCTTCAAATGCTAAAGTGACGCCCACAGGATCAGTTGAGTACATGGTTCTTCCCCACTACCGTTATTTTGTGGCTCAGAAGCACGCTTTGGACATGAATCAGGAGCTTATGTGCCAAGCAATGGAGGTAAGCCTTGTTCTTCCCATTTTCTGTACTTTGGTGGGTTAGAGACTGTTCTTATATGGGCTTGCTTTTTGTTGCAAAATGTCACCTGGACAATGGGGGTGTATCAAAATTTGATCAAGATGGACCGTGAGATCCACATTTTGAAGGGAGAAAGGAACGAACTAAGAACCGAACTAGAATCAAAGAAGATGGCAGTGGCTGAGCTGGAGTCAGCTAGAAAAGCAACAGTTGAGCTTCAAAGTTTGAGTGAGAAGCAGATTCAAAAGTTGGAAAAGAAGGTTGAACAGATGGAGATCAAGTTGAAAGAGACTCAGGAAAAGGCCCGGACAAGGAAGGACCGGTTTGCTAAGCTGAAAAGTAGGTTGAAACTGGCCAAGCACCGGGCAGAGTATGCTGAAAGAAAGGCTGTTGCGGCTGAAGAAAAGTGGCACCAGTCCGAACTGGCAGAGTCAACGGTCGCTGAGGAGACACTAAAGAACTTCAAGGCTTCTCAGGAATTCCGTGATTTAGTCGAAGATTATAATGCTGAAGCCTATGGCTTGGGGTTAGATGCCGCCATTGAGAAGGTCAAGAGGCAATATCCAGATCTCGATCTGTCCATGATTGATTTCTATGCTGAGGAGCATAATGGGGGAGCCTAGTGAGCTGCAACAACCTTCTCAGCATAATCATTCTAAAGATACCCTCTTTCTTGATCTGTTTGTGAATAGTTTAATGGCAAGCAGCTTTCTTTAATGAACGAAAACTTTCTAGATGAAGATCTTGCTTTTCTGTTTCGTGGAAGGATTTAGTCCCAGTCCCATGTTCTCGTGTCTCTCTGAGTGTGTTCAGGACCATGCACTTAACTCTGACACGATGTCTCACTGTACGTTGTCCCGTAAAGTCTGAAATATTAATAAAATATTAATTTTATTATGAATAAATATATTTGAACTGAAAAAAAATGATAATTCAAGTTAATAGACTTATAAAATAGTGAAATCTTTAAAAAATTAGGTATAAAAAATATTATAAAATTTTATGAGATAAATACGTTTTCTAAACAATAATTATACATTAATTACTTAATTAATTTTTTTATTAAAAGAAAAGAGATTCGAGTTTTATTCTTTAAATAATAATTATACATTAATTATTAAATCAAATGTTTAGATACCATTAAATATATGGCATTTATGCTGTTTTCTTATGTTTATTAATATATTTATCAATCATAATAATTAAAAATATTAAAAATAATTATTCATAATTATTTAATTCGACCTTTTTTTTTGTCATTTATTTTTTGTAAAAGAATATCATTCGACAGTAAAAGAAATTTAGAGGTAAATTAGAAATTAAAAAAGATATCTGGGAATTAAAATTTTTTGGGCATTCGAAGAGCCAAAATTCGAAGCTTCATTTCATTTTTCTCTTCATTTTCTCTCTCTACGGCAAAGCAAACTCTCTTTGCCTCTTTGCCGCGGCCATTGACGAGTGACGAACCACTAAAGAATATTTACTGTAAGTGCATGTGATTCAAGAATGACCCACACGGTAAAAACCCTCAATTATTATATCTAATGCCTTCTGTTCATGGTTTTATTTATGGAGTACTGTTAATCATTTTTCACTGCTTTGTCCTTGCCTTTGTGGTGGTGGTTTTTTTTAATCGATCCTTTTCTCTGTTCTTGCTTTGGTTGTTTAACATTTTAGATTCTTGAAAATGGGTAATGTTTGAAAAAGTATGCATATTTTCAAATCTGTCCTTAAAATTGATTTTTTATTAAGATTATGCATATGGAATATTGAGTTTTAAGTTGATTGAACGTATTTAAACAACACTGCAACATCTAAAGCATAAAACTTTCAAGTTATAACTTGAAAGTTTAAGTCTTGGAAAAGAAGGTTAGGGTTAATCATTAATTTTTATTGGAAGGAAGGGGTTGCCTTTCTTGGGAAACAAGTATTCATCACAGTCACTTAAGCAATGCTCACATGGCTCCTCTCAGTTGTTTTTTTTTTTTTCTTGTTTATTTGCATTTTGTAATATTTGACTCATTAGATTCTGAACTTGGCAACTACTTCATTTCTTTATTAGTCTCTAGTTCACTTTTTTTGTTAATAATTTAAGATGGTTTTAATGATACCCTTTTCTTTCTATTAAAATATTATTAGTGATCCAAAATTGTTGTGAACTTGATAAGGGATCAAACAGGTTCTATTAATATTTTTTTGGCAATCCTTCATAGGTATATACTCAAGCATGTCTCTAAAGAATAGGGAAAAAAATAAGTTTGAGTGGATCAAGATTTTGATTTGTGGATTTTGAGGAACATCAGTTTGTCCAACTTCTTGTTTTTGATATGTTTTGATTGCTCTCCCTGGTTTACGCATTATCACTGTTATAGTTGGAAACAAAGATTAGAATGAAATTTTAAGTTAATAAGAGTTTTCCATTTCATTAAAATCACATTTATTGTGGAATCTATTATAAACAAGAAATAGCATTTATGGTTTACTAGTGTATTGCTGTTTGCAAATTATGTCCTTGTAAAAATTACTTCACATTCATGGAAAGTATTGTTTGTGTTGGTGATATTTGTCAGTTTTTGTGGATCAATTTCCATCTTTGTCAGTCACCAAACTTTGAAATTCGCTCTGATTCTTTGCTCAGTGTATGTTAATGCCATCAACCAACACTGTGATTTCAAGGACTACTCAGCACACAAAGCTAACTGAATCATGCTTGCTGCAAATTTAGTTGAATGATATTTTACACTGATATCGAGTTTTAATTCTTGCATTTTGAAGCAGATATGAAACTATTTGCTTATTTTCAGCATTTACTTTTGCAGGGTGAACCTTGTGATATATGCGGTGATGTTGGTTTTGAAGAGGATATTACAACTTGCTTTCAGTGCAAAATAGCCCGGGAACATTGGTATTATTGTTGTTCCCTCCATTGCCTCTGGCTTTATTTTGTTAAAATTCTTAATTTTGATGTTTCGTTTTCTTGCTTCCAGATATCATTTCTATCATCTATCGTCCTGAACTTTATTTATAAACTAAGATGAAGAATAGGAGAAGAAAGAATATAACTTTCTATTACTGTTTCATGCTTTCTAGAAGTTATCATAGGTTTCATAGCTGTTATTTGATCAAACCTTTGATCATTATGAGAGGAGTGAGAGAATTCCAACCTGTGAAGTTTTGTAATTTTTATTATACTTCGTATAAATCCAAATACACTATAGTGAATCGTTTTTTTAACATCAATGTTGAAAATGTTATTATTTCTTTCCATTTTCAGCTATTGCATGCGAAAAGTGCTTTTGACGATTCCAGAAATCTGGTTTTGCAAAGAATGTCAATCTAGCAATGGTATAGCTTCATCAAAATCTGTTAAAGCAGAACATGTTCCTATGGCTTTGACACCAAATGCCTCTGAGACTGAGAGTCCTAGTTGGTTTCTTAAGAATTCAAGGGGAGAATGTCATCTTGCTTCAATATCAAATGCCTTTGAGAGTGCGAGTCCCAGCATGTTTCTCAATAATCAAGAGATTGCAGGTCGTGATGGAGCGATAATGGCTATTGAAACTAGGAAAATGAAGTTCATTTCTACCGAAGAAGCTATTGAGATGACATCTTGCACTCACAAATTGAAACATTCACTGAGAAATGCAGGTTAACTTCTATGCTATGCAGTGTTTCACTATTTGTAGCTGAAATTTAGGGTTTTAAAAATGTTCAAATTGGTTGAAGTTAACCCTATGTGTCTAATTTTGACAGATACATCTACAATGTCTAGACAGACAAAGAATGTTGAAGAAAATGTTTCTCCCAATAATGTGGAAGAGCCTGAAAGAAGTGATGATGATTCATTGCCTCAATTACAAATGACAACAAAGAAGAGGAAAACAAGAGGACGCACAACAATGCCTGCCTTGGATAAACTTCGAAGTGAGCAAAAGAAATTACAAGTGGAGTTTAACAGTAAAGAGCAGCCTGTGGGTTATGCTGCAAAAAAGATGGCCGGCTATATTGGAATTCTAGTACGAAGTATAGTCCCCATTACAGTAAAAAATTGGAGGATGGTTACAGATGAACAAAAGCAGAAGATTTGGGATTTGGTGTTGGTAAGTTATACTTTGTCAAATAACAATGTTGATATCTCTAGGTTACAAATGCAATTCCAGTATCTTGTCCAATGTATTCTGGCTTGATAACTGATAAGTTTGTCCTGTAGGAGAACTTTGAGTTGGAGGCAAAGGCTAAGAAGATTGTTTTGAAATCAGCTGGTCTTAAATGGCGAGGCTTCAAGGCAAGATTAACTAAGTACATCCTTTCTAATAAAGACAAAAAAGACATGTTGACTCAGCCACCAGCTTCATTTAAGGATGTTATTCTTCAACCACAATGGGATGCATTTGTTCGAACTCGGCTATCAAATGAATTTAAAGTATACATTGCAACCTTTTTTATTATAGAAATTTAGTGAAGAGCAAATGTTATTCATTAAGTCTTAGGCATTCTAATTTGTACTTCTTTACTATTTGTATTTCAGAAAGTAAGTGAAGAGCAAAAGCAAATAAGGGCAAAGATGATATACCATCATAGGTTATCAAGAAATGGATATGCAAATTTGGAGCGTGAAATTGTAAGTGTTTGTTAATTTGAAGTATAACTTGGTTCAAGTAATAAGAACTTTATTTATATGCATATGGTAGCAACAATCATTGGGCACCAGTACTGAGGTAACAAGATCCATTTTATGGAAAAAAGCACATGCAACTAAGAGTGGGGAGTATCCAGATGAAGCTACTCAAGAAATGGCAAATAAGATTGTAAGTTCGTATGTAAACTTTTAACACTTCAACCTAATTCATCTTTTTTAAAATATTGACTTTGTTTTCTGTTATTTGTATTTGAGGATGAATATTCTATGAAATGCTCAAAAGGAACTATACCAACAGGCTTTGGCGTTGATGCTCTGACATTGGCTTTCGGTGGTACAGAAAGACCTGGACGTGTAAGGGGTGTAGGGAGCTTTGTTTCTCCAACAATGTACTTCCATGCACCAAAGACCAAAAATAAGAAGCCGAAAAAAGCTGAAATATTATTGGAAGCACAAAAAAAATTCTGTGAGGAGCAACTGGCTCAACAACGTCAATTGTTTGAGCAAGAACGAAATGAGTTGCGGGAACGTCTTGCAGCATTGGAGGCAAAAATGGCTGCAATAGCAACTACCTCATTACCTATTCCCAATTGACTTATTGAAACTGAAGACGTAAAACCGAAGAATCAGAATGTGGATAGAAATGATAACAACATTAAAGAACTTTTACTCTAATTATCTATTACAGTTTGCAAGAAGTTTTTGCATAGATTATGTTGCATTTTTTAGCAGAACAAATCCTGATGGTCGTTTCTATAGGGATGACATGAAATTGATGCCCCTGAATGTTGTTTGTAGGTTCAAAATTGAATTTTTTTTATAGGGAATACTTCTAAATAACTGTTCATACCACATGAACAGTTTGATTGAAGGTTTCGTGTTCACAAAAGTTATCTGACAAGATTGGAAATTGTATCTTCTATGAAAGGTACCATTTTATGCATCATGTTAAACTGTGTAGCTGTTTCTTGTTGCCATTTGAGACCAACTTCAAGCATTATGTCAGATTGGATTTTCCTGGCATTCCTTAAACATTATATTATATGGCTAGCAGCAACTTGACACATTTGGGTTCTGCCTTTTTTTTGTAAAGCTAAATAGTTGTGGCCTTTGAAGTTCACCCAGCAAACTTTGTATCAAGGGTCATTGTCTCATTACTTGGCTGTTTCCATGGAACTGGCTATGCCTCATTTAACTTAATTAGGTTTTATTATTATTAACTTATGTAAGGAGAATAATTGAGAAAAAAAAAATTTTTTTTGAAGCAGAAAAAGAAGTTACATTGGATAAAAATATAATTTCTATAAAAATTTTGAAAGACATTGATATTCCTATTTGAAATAGCGTGAAAAATATTGATTTGACTTTTGAGACGGAAATATTTTATTTATAATATTTTATTATAATTTATAATTATTTAATTATAATAAAAAATTAAATAAAAATTTATCATTTGTAAATGTGAATTTTATATAAAATTTTAATATTTTATATTATTTAAAATTATAATTAATTATGCTACAATACTTTATTTTAAGAGATAATTAGAAGGCATAGATTTCGGTGAAAAGTCAAATTCCTAAAAATGTATGATTTCGGAGTAAGTGTGATTTTTCATGATATTTGATTTTTAGGTTTTTGTATTTGGTTGAAGAAATATGAAATTACTTAATAAAATATTTTTATTATATTATTTTTTATTATATAATAAATACAATAATACGTCAATTATTCCGTTAATTTCATTCAAAAAAAAAGTAAAAAAACACAATACTGGTATGGTCAATTATAAAAAAAAAATTAATCCTTAATTATTGTATTAATTTCATTCAAAAAACATAGAAAACGCAATAATTAAATAAATATAATGAATAATTATTACGTTGAACTTTAAAGAAACACAATAATTGACAAACTCATAATAAATACTCATTAAATCAAAAGCTATCAAGTTCAAAAAAATTCAATACCAAATATTGCGATTCTATTAAAAGAAATTGGATTAATTACCATATTTATAATAAATGCTCATTAAATCAAAAGTCATCAAATTAAATATAAAAAAAAATTAAATGCTAAATGTTACATTTTTGTTCAAAGAAATGCAGTAATTGTCATACCTATAATAAATACTTATTAAATCAAAAGTTATTAATTGAAACGTAAAAAAAAAAAAAATTAAATGGCAAATATTACATTTTTATTAAAAAAATATAGTAATTGTTATACTTATAAAAATGCTTATTAAATCAAAAGTCATCAAGTCAAATATTATGTTTTCATTCAAAGAAACGCAATAAATAATTATAATTATTACATTTTAAAGCCTACAAATGTAATATTTAAATGAAAAAATAAAAAAATACTTAATTAAAAAAAGTTTAAAATAAAAGTAATTCATAATTATTTAATTTTTATATGTTGATTTTCATGATAGTAAAATAAAAAAAAAAATTTGTTAAGGTCATAAGATAAAAGTCTCTTTTTTTTAGAATCTTAAAAAATTACAAAGAAAAATATTATTTTATTCTAAAATTTTAGATACTATTAAGGAATATAAGATTATACTTAAAAAATACAGTACTGGCATGGCCAATTATAAAAAAAAAAATTAATCATTAATTACTGTATTAATTTCATTCAAAAAACTTAAAAAATGCAATAATTAAATAAATATAATGAATAATTATTACGTTTAACTTTAAAGAAACACAATAATTGACAAACTCATAATAAATACTCATTAAATCAAAAGCTATCAAGTCCAAAAAAATTCAATACCAAATATTGCGATTCTATTAAAAGAATGGATTAATTACCATATTTATAATAAATGCTCGTTAAATCAAAAGTCATCAAATTAAATATAAAAAAAATTAAATGCTAAATGTTACATTTTTGTTCAAAGAAATGCAATAATTGTCATACCCATAATAGATACTTATTAAATTAAAAATCATTAATTGAAATGTAAAAAAAAATTAAATGGTAAATATTACATTTTTATTAAAAATATATAGTAATTATTATACCTATAAAAATACGTATTAAATCAAAAGTCATCAAGTCAAATATTATGTTTTCATTCAAAGAAACGTAATAAATAATTATAATTATTACATTTTGAAGTCTACAAATGCAATATTTAAATGAAAAGATAAAAAAAATGCTTAATTAAAAAAAATTTAAAATAAAAGTAATTCATAATTATTTAATTTTTATATGTTGATTTTCATGATAGTAAAATAAAAAAAAATTTTGTTAAGGTCATAAGATAAAAGTCTCTTTTTTCTAGAATCTTAAAAAATTATAAAAAAAAATATTATTTTATTCTAAAATTTTAGATACTATTAAGGAATATAAGATTATACTTAAAAATTTAATACAACCTAAAATTTGAATACACAACAGTAATATTCTAAAAGAAAATCTCATGTTGTCTCCAACCAAACGTCCCTATAGAGATAATTCCTTGAAAAAACCCCAAAAAAACTTCGATCCACCATAGCAAGGATTTCTAGGGTTGTCCATAATGGTAAGCGATGGTGATGTCTGCTTTCAAACGCGAAGGGAGGTGTTTCGCCCCACTGATCTCTCCTCGCCCAATCACCGCCATTCGATCTTGTCCCCTCACTCCCACTCATGAGCACGATTCTCATATTTTCAATCTCTCAACTTGTCATCTCTTTCGATACATATACATATATTCTCATCTCATTTTTCCTTATTTACCTTGATTTCTGCTTTGATGATTAACAACTCAGGCCAAAAAAGAAGAGGTTTTCGTTGTTTTTCCCTTATCTTTTAGGCCCAAATGACACATTTTCCTTTTCTTTCTTGATAACCAAATGGAAAATTTTTTTTTCTTGTTGGATTGATTAGATTTTTCACTGTTGCTGAGGAAATGAAGTTTTGTATAATGATCTTTAGTTTCTCTTTCTTTTTTTTTTTTTTTAATTGTGTATATTTTTCCTTAATTTGCTTAAAAGTGAACATTTTTATGATAAATTTTGATTTATTTCTCTGCTAATGGAAATGAATTTTTTTTTATGATTTTTTTTGCCAGTGAAATTTAATATGTATCTTAAATTGAGCTAAATAGTTGGTAGTAGCGTTTTCTATAATTTGAATTTTCAGAAGAAGGGAAAAGACAAATATATCAAAAAACTTATTGAACCTTATATAAGATTTATAACAAAATTTATATTTTGGTATTTTCACAATTTTCTTTGATGTGATTTGAACTACTAAATAAATTAACTTGGATGGCAAGGATGAGGGTCCTATCGGAGTTCGTTATATTTCGACTCAAGTCGGTAAGAATTGTTTCCATTTTTTGTTTGTTTCATTTTAATATGATGTTATACGTACATGCTAGTCATGTTTTCCTCTAGAGTTAGGATTCATGGTGAAGGTTATAACTTAGGTGGTGGTCAATTACTGGGGCAGTTAGAAATTGAATGAAGAGTGTGAATAATATTCAGAAAATCACAAAGGCAATGAAGATGGTTGCAGCCTCAAAGTTGAGAGTAATTCAAACTAAAGCCGGGAATTCCTGTGGCCTCTGGTAGCCATTTACTGCACTTGTTGGTGATCTTCCCAATATGTCCACTAATAAGCCTTTGATATGTATCTTTTACTGAGTAAGCACAGTTGAATTTGTTTGTGTTCTCGTTCCATTTTGCTTAATGTTTGTTATGTCAAGTTGTTAATTGTTAATTTATGCTTTTTTCCATGTATGTTGCATTGGTGTTCATGTTGTGAATTTTAATGGGGCAGTGCCTTAGTTTGTCTTCCTACCCTTTCTATCCACAAAGTTTATGCAAATGTAAATTTGGGAAAATGACGAATAAAAGTTCTCAAGTGGATTTTTCTAATTACTCCAGCATAAATCGTGAAAAAGAAGGGAAAAAATGAATAATTAAATGATTTGGGGATTTCTCTCTCTCAGGTTAGTAGGACTAAACTGAGCAGTGGATTTTCATACACTTTTCGTCATTTGCTTGCAAATCCTATCGATTTTCTTGCTTTTTCTTCTATTTTCTTGTAAATTCTATTGTCTCTTTTTCTCTATATTGTCTTTCATATATTTCTTACACTTTGTGGGATCCATTGTTACGGAATGAGCTTGAAGAAACAATAAAATCCAAACAGGATATCTGTAATTCCTCCAAAGGCATTTTCTGCCCAATTGGTGCCTTCAAGTTCAGGTTGTGATCTGGAATCAAATCAAAGCTCGAGTGCTTTGCAGGTGAACGAATATCTGGCGACAAAAATGTGAGCTACAAAGATGAGTGAAAAGACAGAGTTTGTTACAAAAGATGCAGAGGTAGTTACTGCTGTAGTGGAGGAGAAAAATGGCCCAATCACTAAAATCCAACCTCCAAATGGTACTGTATGGAAGTCTCTGTTCAAATCTAAGACGTATGATGGTAGTTTGTATTTCTTTACTTCATCTTGTTCTAATGGTAAGATTGTGGTCAAACCGTCTATAAAAGTTATTGAAGAGGGAATTAACTCCAGGAATAACAGTCTTATTGTTCAATTTCTGGGGAAGGCACCAAACTATAGTCAATTTCAGAAGGTTGTGAACCTCTTATGGGGTAAAAAATGTGCAATGGAGATAAAGGGTGCGGAGGCATATTTGTTCTTTCTAAGATTTTCTTCTAATGAAGTTTGTAGCTGGGTTATTGAATCTGGACCATGGCATATCAACCATAAGCCTCTCATCCTCAGGCGATGGAAGGCTGGTATGAATCTTGATGAACTAAACCTTAATAGTATTCCTGTGTGTGTAAAGCTATTGAATGTCTCTTTGGAACTTTTTAATAAGATTGGTCTCAGCGACATTGCTAGTGCTCTAGGACAGCTTCTGTGCATGGATAAGGGTAAAACAAAGCAAACACAAATAAAAATGGCAGAAGTCTATGTTGAAATAGGATACAATGATGAATTACCTTATGAGGTTGAAGTTGATATGGGAAATGGGAATATTGCTGCAGTTTGTGTAGCGAACCCGTGGATTCCACAAAAGTGCACTCAATGTAAAATGTTTGGACACACAATTCAATCCTGCCCCTTGGCTCCAAAAGATATAAAAGTTGTGTGGGTGTCAAAGCTAGTTACTGAAGAAACTCAGGCTGAACAGAAGCAGTTAGTTCCAGACAACTTTACAGACCAACATGTGCAGAAGAGTAATTCAGTTGATATGGTAAAAGCGAAAGAGCCAGAGGTAGTGAATCAACATGTGAATAAATTTGAAATTCTTGCAACTTTAAAATTGGATGAACCTAAGCCTAGTATGACTATTTTAGAATTTGATATTGAAGGTTAGTTAGGTGTTGTTTCTCCCAAAAAAACAAAGGGCTGCAACTGTAGGAGTTACTGAGTTGTTAAAGAATATTGTTCCTACAAGGAAAAGGTAAAAATGAGGTAGAAAGCGTGAACGAGGATCTGGTAGTGGCAGGAATGTTTATGCTGCTGGTGGTAAGCCTTTATCTTATATTTCCTTATAATTCTTGTGTGGAACATCAGGGGTCTAAATGACCCTGTAAAACAAAAAGAAGTAATTAAGGTAGCTATAATAAATAAAATAGATATTTGTGCCTTGTGGAGACAGCAGTTAAGGAAAACAATATGCTAAGCATTCTTAGTAGAAGTTTTCGTACTTGGAACTCCATTCATCACTGTCAATTTGCAGTGAATGGTAGAATCTGGATACTCTGGAGGAATCAAATCTCCGTACAGGTGGTGTCAGCTATCGATCAAGCTATTACTTGTCTTTGTTCTCGACCTCAAGGTGATTTTTGGTATTTCACATTTCTTTATGAGAGGAATAATGGCATTGAAAAAAGATCTCTTTGGGATTATCTCCTTAATCTTAGTAAAAGATTTTGTAATGAGCCATGATGCTATCTGGTGATTTTAATGTTGTTAAGTATCCTTCTGAAAGTTCAGATTATAGTAAAAATCCATGTATTACTGCTGATGTTAAAGACTCCAAAAATGTTTACAAGAAGCTCAATTACATGATTACAAATATACAGATCCTTTCTTCACATGGAGTAATCACCGAGATGAAGCTCCTCTTGCTAGTAAATTAGATAGAACATTGTCAAATGATTCATGGTATATATCTCTCCCTCATTCCAATGTTGAATATTTGATGCCTGAAATTTTCGATCATAATCCTGCTTTGGTAAAACCCATGAATTCTGTCTACTCTCTTCCAAAGCTTTTTAAGTTTTTTAACTTTTGGGTACAAAATGAGAGCTTCAAGTTTACTGTGGATGATATTTGGAAGCAGAATCTGAGAGGTTCTACTATCTCAGTACTTCACTAAAAATTGAAATTGCCTAAGCCTGTCCTTAAGCAACTTAATAACAGGAATTATGTTGCTATTTCAAAGAAAGTTGAGATATTGCGTGAATAGTTGGTCAACTTGCAGAGTAAATCTCTTGCTAAGCCTAATGACATTGATTTAGCAAAGGCAACAAAGGCTAATTCCTCTGAACTTGTGAAGATGTTGGCAGCTGAAGAAGCCTTCTACAAGGTAAAAAATCTATAATACAATGGTTGTAAATGGGTGATCAAAATACAAGATACTTTCATAAGGTTCTGAGGGCCAAGAATTCTTATAATGAGATTAAGGTCATTTATGATGCCGAGGGACGGAAACTCACCTCGTTAGATGACATAAAGCAAGAAGCTATTGATTATTTCCAAAAGTTACTTGGTGCACCAGATCCTTGTGTAGAACACTGTTCTTCAACGGATATTAAAGCTATATTGAAGAAATCCTTCTTTGAAGAAAGTAAATCAATCCTTGCTAGGAATGTCCTTAGTAAGGAGATCAAAGATACTCTATTCTTCTTACCAGATGGGAAAGCTCCTAGGCTGGATGGATACATTGCAAAATTTTTCAAAGAAGCATGGCATATTGTGGGGGAGGATTTCCTTAAGGCCATTCACTACTTTTTCAATTATGGTAGAATGCATGCTGCCATAAACTCTACCAGTATTACTCTAGTGCCTAAGACTCAAAATCCCAATACTTATGGCTGATCATAAACCTATCTCATGTTATAGCACTATGTACAAATTTATTGCTAGGATATTGACTAACAGACTAAAGCAGTGTCTCCCTGAAGTAATTAGTCCTAACCAATCGGCTTTTGTGGAAGGGATAAGCATCACACATAATGTCCTTTGCTCGGGAACTAGTCAAAGGATATCATGGGAAGCATGTCTTTCCAAGATGCACTTTAAAAGTTGATTTGAGGAAAGCCTTTGATTCAATAAGTTGGAATTTCCTTAAATGTGTTCTGATACACTAGGCACCCCCGTAAACTTTGTCAATTGGGTACATGAGTGCGTTACTAGTACCAAGTTTTCTATATCATTGAATAGAGGTTTGGTGGGCTATTTTACAGGTGCAAAGGGAATCAGGCAATGAGATCCGCTATCATCTTACCTCTTTGTGCTAGTAATGGAAGTCTTATCATGTATGTTGAACAATGCCAGTTCTCAAGGACTGTTTCCTTATCATCCCTACCGTGAAGGATCAAAATTAATCACTTGTACTTCGCAAATGATCTCATGATTTTTATGAAAAGTTCTTCACAAGTAGCTAAGAAAGTCTACTCTATCTTGAAGTCCTTTTACATAATATCTGGTCTGAAATTAAACCCAACTAGAAGTGAGTTGTTTCATGCTAATATTTCTACTTCTGAGTTATAAGAGATTCAAGTACTGGGTTTAGAATGAGGAGCTTTCCTATTAAGTATCTAGGAGTACCACTCTCTTCTAAAAAACTAAATGCTCAAGATTGTCAGCCTTTAGTCCAGAAAATAATTGCCAGAATTCAGATCTAGGCGGTAATGAGACTTTCCTATGATAGCAGATTGCAGTTTATAAAATTTATTATGTTAGGGCTTCAAAATTATTGGTGCAACATATTTCCACTACCTAAAAGGGTTATCAAAAAAGTGACTCAAGTTTATTCTGCTTTTCTTTGGAAAGGGAAAGAGGGGGATGCAAGAGGAGCAAAAGTTAAAGCCATTTGCTACTCAAAAAAAGAAGGTGGATTAGGTCTTAAGGATCTCCTAACATGGAATAAAGCTTGTCTTTTAAAGCATATCTAGTCTTTATTTACTCAAAGTGGATCCCTTTGGGTAGCTTGGATAAAAGCTCACCACTTGAGGGAAAAAGGCATTTGACAAATCGATTAGCAGAAGGACTATAGTCGACATTGGAGGAAACTTTTAAAGCTAAGAAATGCAAGCAGAGAGCTCATAGAGCACAAGATTGGAGATGGAAAGAATACTTTCTTATGGTTTGATAATTGGCTTAGTGATGGTCCTTTAATTACTTCTTGCGGTAGAGTAATAATATCATAGGTTGCAATTCCTGCGAGTGCAACTGTGGCCTCTGCTCTTTTAATAAATGATTGGACCCAGAACCTCGCTACTCCGCTACAGATGAGGGATTTGTAGCAGGAGTTGGCTGGCCTCATCCTTATTGAAGAAGAGGATGCTATTGTTTGGCAGGCATCAAAGTCTGGCAAATTTATACTTTCAGATACATGAAACTGGATCAAGTTTAGAAAACCCACTATGGGTTGGCATAAATTGGTATGGAATTCGTCGTCACTCCCAAGACATAGTTTTATCACTTGGCTTGAAATTCTTAATAGATTAAGCACACTAGCTAATATTAGGAGATGGTGTACTCAACTACCAGAAGTCACTTGCTACTTTTGTGATATAGAGATAGAGACTAGAGATCATCTTTCTTTTCTTGTGACTTCTCAAAGCAAGTTTGGCAATTGGTGTTAGCAAAGTGTGAGATTGACCGTAGAATCCACAGCTAGTAGCAGGAGCTCGACTAGGCTATTTGAAATACCAAAGGTAAAACTTCCAAGGCTATGATTTTGATAGGAGTGTGGATAGCAAGTATATTCCATATGTGGCGTTCGAGGAACTCTCTAATGCATGGCATTTCTTCTCTAAACATTGAAAATACTTTGCAAGGCATTGGTTTTGATGTAAAATTTTGCCTTTTAAAATTTGTAAAAAATACGAATGATCCCACTGTTAGTTCTGTATGTAATAATTGGGGGATTATGTAGAAAGTACTAAGGTTCATTCTTTGATTGTTGACTGGTAGTAGGAATCATGCTTCTTTGGATTAATGAAATACCATTTATCCAAAAAAAAAAAATGTAAATTTGATAATTGATTGATAAAAGAACAGTGTGAGCATATTAGCTGCACTTTTATAAATGCTACTTACTGTTACTTGTTTGAGAATTAGGTGGGTAGATCTTTTCTATGTCCCAAGATTGATATAGGTAGATAATTTGTAAAAGATGGATTTTGCATTGATAATACCTCACTGATTTTGTTTGTTGGGGTTGTAATCTTGATTGTGATTTCTTTTAAAATTATGCTGCATGTTTGATATGTGTTTGTCTGTTTGGTTTTGCTTTGAATGAATATAAGTTATAAAGAGGCTCCGGTTGTTTATGAAATTAGTTTTGTATCGGTCACAATTATCAAAATTAAATTAAACCGTTAGTCCGACCAATTGAACGAGTGAATTAATATTGAAATCCGTTTGATTCTATAATTATATCAGTTTTATAATTAAATCATTTTAAATTATTATAAACCACCTTTTATACAACAAACCAATAAATCAAATGATTTTTTTTAATTAGATTGATTCAATACCAATTAATAAGTTTAAAAAAATATGAAAAAAAGTACTTTAAGTATTCAAAATAATTTAATTAAGTCATTATATTACTATTTCATTTAAATAAACTCCTCAACTTTTTTTTTTTTACCATTAAAGTCTTTGTATTTATAGTAATGATATGTTAGTATATTTTGAGATATGTAAATAATGACATTACAAAAATACTTACACACGTAAAAATAAGCAATTTAAAAAAAATGATCTAACAAAAAATTTTATTAATTGATATTATAATTAAAAATAATTATAATAAAATACAAAATGTTAATAAAAATGATTAATTATTTGACCATGATTGAAAATAATTAATAAAAGAAAATGTATATATATAAAATTAATAAAAAAAATCTACATTCATATAAAAAATATTAAAATGATTTTAACTTCCTTTTTATTAATTTTCATATAAATATAAATGTTTCCTTTTTATTAATTTTATATATAGATATTTCTTTTTTATTACATAAAGATTAATTATTACATATTAATAAATAATATTTATATTCTAACAAATATAAATAATTATTTATAATTATTTATTGGTTATTATTTATTATATTTATTAAAATATAAATATTATTTCCAACATTAAAATATAAAATATGATTTTAATAAAATATTAAGTAATTTCATTTCTAACTAGTAATTAATTATTCTATGAGTTTTATATTTTAAAATTTGTACTTTATGATATAACTTAAAATTTATAATTTTATGATTGAATTATTAAATTATAACTTAAATTAAAAGTTTAAAATTTGAATTTTTAAAATATTTATAATTTTTTATAATATTTTTTATTGAACCGACAATTGACTCGATTGTTTAACCATAAATCCGGTAACTCGAAACCTTGAACGGTTTAATATTTAATCCTGTTTTGATAACCATGGTATTGATAATAGCTAGCTTGACTTGGTTAATAACTAATATTACTTGGTTCAGGTTGAAATAGAGTGCTTTTTAATGCTTAATGGTGAATAAAACTGAAGTTTTACAAAACTGGAAACTAATAGATTTACTCGCTAACCTGAAGGGAAGTGTTTTAGCTTAACCTGTAAATTTGGTTAATACCATTAATAACGCTTTTGAAATTTGCTTAGTTAAGGTTACAGGGTCTTTGCCAATTCACTCTTGTTTTATCCTTGTACAATTTGTTGTATTTTGTTTAATAATCTTTTACTTATATCAAATGCATATATTCTTGTCAGCCTCATTTTATTAGTATGTATTGTCACAATGCTAGGTGTCGATGTCAAGAAGAATGTTGTTGTGACCATCTCTTCAGACAAAGGTCTTCGTGGTGGAATTAACTCTACATCAGTCAAGATAAGCAAGGCACTCCACAAGTTGAACTCTGGTATATCTTCCAAGCAACATAATCTTTTCTACTCGTTTGTTTTTCTCTTAGTTGGTGTCCAATTGGCCGCTTCTTTTGAGTTTAATATCTTTATTGCCACAGGTCCTGAAAAGGAAACAAAATATGTTATTTTGGGAGAGAAAGCTAAGGCTCAATTGGTTCTTGACTCTAAGAAGGACACTGAGTTAATCATAACCGAGGTGCAGAAAAATCCTTTGAACTAGACTCAGGTCTGCAATTATATTTTTTTTGCAATTTTCCAAGGAAAAAATTTTTGTCCAAGCTGAAATTTTGATTGACAAATTGAATGCTTGATTCTTGCTTTAAGGCTGTGTTTTGGTCATGCAGGAGCAGGAAATTTTGACCTTATATCTTATGTCTCAGTGAATGCATTGTTTCTTAACTGGTTCCTTGCAATGTAGTGCAGGATGTGGGAATCTATAATATTAAGAAAACTGTGGTCTAATGATGGCTGTAATTATAGGGTTTAATTTCATAATAGAATACAATTAAGGTATGTTGGTTGGTTTAGAAAGGAAGGACTCCATTTTGAGGATAAAAACAACAATAAAGGTTCAACCTACCTGCCGGCTTGGGAAGTGAATAAGTAACCATTTACCGTAGGGTTGAAGCTTGGAGGTTGTTTTGGTGTGGATCTGGTTAGAGTTTGATAGATGGCGATTCTGGGGTTGAATGGGAATTCTTTATGGCTGATTATAATATGTCAGAGTTCGAAAACAAAGAATAAGAAGAGGATAATATTTGGGCTTCACACTTAGATCTCCTCCATCTTTGCATCAAAGGCCTTAAAGGTTTCACATATAGGGTTAGGAATTTCTTCACACCACCCTAAAGAGCATAACAGCAGCAAATTCTCATATAATTGTTCTCTATTAGTTGAAAGCGGTAATCCAAAGTAGGAGCTACCAAAAACTGATTGAAAGTAAGTTCTAACTGTGAAGGAAAACATAATAATGGAAGGAAACCTTAAATGACCTTTGGTCTCAAATTCTAAGATTATAACATCCAAGAATTACCAGAATACCATACTCATAAATCCAAGAGAACGGATTTTTTTTTTTATGTTGCAACTGTTAAGCTAAGGAGACATAACATTAAATAATGCCGTAATTGTCTAACATCAAATAAAGACTGAATTCCAAATTTTCTTGGAGTTTAATCTTGACTCTTTTCAATCCACTTTCTTTGCTGAATCACTTTGTCTTTACTAAATTTCTATCTTCTGCTCAATATTGTAGATTGTGGTTGACTGTGTTAACTGTCGATCTCACTGGATGAAATGGAATTTTCTAATAGAGATGAATCTCTTTTTTGTGGACTTTTTCTATTTCTTTTCGCCATACTTACAAATATTTGCACCTGCAGGTCTCTCTTCTTGCTGATGATATCTTAAAGAATGTGGAGTATGACGCTTTGAGGATTGTCTTCAACAAGTTTCACTCAGTAGTTTCATTCGTGCCTACACTGTCAACCGTGTTATCACCTGAAGTGAGTATAACCAGAATCTTTCAGCTTGATAGTTTTTTTTTTTTTTTTTTTGCTGTTTAAATGTTGCTTTATTTAGTCTATTTTTTATTTGGTGATTTGTTCATATAGATTGTTGAAAGGGAAGCTGAATCCGGGGGCAAGCTTGTTGATCTAGACTCCTATGAAGTTGAGGGTGGTGAGACAAAGGCTGAAATACTTCAAAATCTGGCAGAGTTCCAGTTTTCTTGTGTAAGTCCTGCTGTTTGAAACAAAAGTCCTTATTACTTGTTATTCTGCATGAAAGTCATACCATGAAAACATGAACTATGAATAATTGAGTATTAACATTTAATGAACAAAAACCCATCTTTGTGAATTTTACTTGATACCCTGGATCTTAGAAAATGATTCCTATGATTTTGGAGATAAAGTAAACACTTAATTAGTTAAGTTCCTATAGATTTTGATAGAGCTCTAGAACTTAGTTTAGCATTGCACTTGAAAGTAATTTTTGTGTTCAAAAGTTGCTTTTAACCCTACTTCAATGCTAAACAAAAAAAATAATTTCCTTGTTGACCACTGCAAATTCATCTGAGTGGTGTTGTCGAGGCAAAGCCTTTACTATCTCTTTGTGTACGAAAAAATACAAATAGGTGTAAGAATTTTACATCTGTGTGTTGGGAATGCATAAGCTACCTTATCTTCCTATTAGTAGAAAATCTATAAAAAATAAATAAAAAAACTCAGGGTTTTCTTTATTAGTCTCTGTAATTTACCATCAAAGAATTCTCATATTTCCCCTAGGTCATGTTCAATGCGGTATTGGAGAACGCTTGTAGTGAACAAGGAGCAAGGATGTCTGCCATGGATAGCTCAACCAGAAATACCGTCGACATGCTTGATGGCCTTACACTCACATATAACAGGTATCCCTACCTCTCTCCCTCTTTCTCATGTACATGTGTTGTCATGTGAATCAGTTTCTACATATAAGTACTAGTATTCTTAGGTTGTCTCAAGCCTAATTCAGTTGTTTTTAATTTTTCTTCCTTTTTATAGCCGATGTAGATGATTTTTGTGTCATATTTGTGTTACAGAACCCGTCAAGATTACCACCGAGTTGATTGAGATTGTATCTGGAGCATCGGCACTGGAGGATCAATTTATTGCATACAGCATATAGACATTGCATTTTAAGAGGGTATTTATTTGGAGTCAATCAACAGTAAAAGAAGTAATCATGAAACCATCAATAGCATCAACATCCAATAAGAATTATTTGAAAATAAAAAACCAGTCGGAAAGTATTCAAGGAAAAGAAAGAGACTGGTTAAGATTCTGTTTCTACATTTCACAATTGGAAGTTAAAAAGGGGTATTTGTTGAAGACATATAAGGATGTGATATTGCTCATGTCAATGAAGATTGATAAGTCACTAATTCAGATTACGATACAATTTTAAAATCGTTGTTTCGTGTTCAACGAATAAGACTTGATCTATAATTGAATAATATTCATTTTTATTCCGAACAAAGTCTGTCAATCAAGACAATATTTATTGGTAGGAGGAAAACATCACCGGATATGAAAAGAAGTTGGCATTTCTGGGAATCAAAATCACTTTTTTTATGGTTTCAGCAGCCTTTTGATTCTTCCTTTCTTAATCCATGTGACTGAGTCAGCGTAAGAAGATCGGATCTTTTGAACCTATCATTTTTTGTCGATTTCGGGAAAATTAACACAATATCTCATCGTTATGGCTCTCAAATTAAAGATTTTTAATAGAAATGCATTAACGCAGCACACTCCTGGACCAGGCATTAACGCTAATGCACTCCTAAACTCGCTCTTGTTAAGGTAATTTGAGTTAGGTTTTTTTGAAAGAGTGTATTAAAAATTTTCTGTTCCAAAATTTAAAGGAGAAAAAAAATCATATAAAGGGTCGGATCAATCCGAATCCTAAACCCAATTCTTTGGGTCTTCACCAACCAAGTGTTGGGATGTGTAAATTGTCTGAAAAGGGATACTTTTCCGTAATTTGGATTGTGGTTGTTGGGGAGAAACGTCAGGATGGAGGGCGCTGTTGCCACTGACAAAAAACAAGCTTCAACGACTTAAGAACAGAGGAGAGATCCGAAAACAGAGAATCAAGCCATTACAGCTCACCACCAACAAAGCTTTCCAACGCTAGAAACCTTCTAAATCTCTAAACGACAACAGTAAGCCTTTTTTTTTTTTCTCTTTCTTTTCTCTCTTGGGTTCTTCATTTGTTATTTTGTGCATGTCATTCTTCATTACCCGTCTTTTATGGTTGTAATTTCCTTCTTTGCTCTTGTTAATTTTGGTTAGGGAGAAAATGTGAGAAATAGCTTTGTTGTACTTGGGAATTCTCTCAACCTGGGTTGTTGTTTATATAGTGAAAGTCATTTCATGTCTCCCCAAATGTGTTTATATATGGGTTATTATTTTTCTGCTGAATAAGGCTAGTTTAGTGTGTTATCTGATTAAATTTTGATTTTTCATGGTATTGGAAGATTTTGCATTACTGTTTTTTTTTTTTTCGAAACAGATAATTTTGATGGAAGGATTGTCAATTTCACGAATCATCCCGATTCAAGTTTCGTGTAAACGGCATTGCTCTGCTTTTCTCCCTACATTTTCCTTGCATTTACGGAAAAACTTGAGTAGAGGTCAAGTTTGGATGATGAAACGTCCTAAGTCATTGGATCCGATTGCTGCTTCAGTTCAACCATTAGAAGCCTCATCTATTGGCCACTTTGATAATAAGCAGCCTTCCAAAGGTTTTGTTATCTATAGCTCAAGTGATCTTATATTGCTTTAGTTGAGTTCCCAACGTATTGGATAGAAAACAAGGAATGGGTTTAAATTTAAAGTTAGAATGATTTATGAATTTTATGGACTTGAATGATGAAACTGGTTTGGGATTTAGTTTGAATGTTTTTAATTAATTTTTTGATGTTGTAAATGTAGAAGTAATTGCCTTTATTGATAGTTGCCTTTATTATATTCCAGAGGTTCTTGAGCTGTGGAGAAGCGCTGATGCAGTGTGCTTTGATGTGGATAGCACAGTCTGCATAGATGAGGGCATTGATGAACTTGCAGAATTTTGTGGGGCTGGAAAGGCTGTTGCAGAATGGACTGCTAGGTTGGTTGACCACATTCATTTTGAGTACTTGAATTCCTTTGATGTTGTAGAGCATAAATAGTAGTCTCTGGTTTTTGTTTGATAGAGCCATGGGTGGTTCGGTTCCTTTTGAGGAGGCCTTGGCTGCCAGGTTGTCTTTATTCAAACCTTCCCTAGCTAAAGTCCAGAATTTTCTCGAGAAAAGGCCCCCTAGGTATGAGGCTTGTAATTCACCTTCTTAATCTTACCTTGTTATGTTCTTCATAAGACTAGATGCTTGGGTAGTTCTTGGAGTTGAATTATTACATTCTCCTAAGAAATCATGATTTGCTTGTACCTTACAATATTCAGGCTGTAATATGTTTAGTGTTTGCTTTAAATATTTTCACATCTTTATATATTGTGTTTTAGTTCTAGTTTAGATGGTACTTGATGCAAGCAAAATAAGTTTCATTTTAGCTCCTTCATTAGTTTAATGTTCTTACACTATAATATAATTCTCCAGCTGCTACGTCAAACGCCCTTGTTTCTGAAACATCCTTTATAACCTTTAACCAAGACCCTATATATTTCAATACTTAAACCTAATGTTCTATTGCCAACTGCCTGACCAAGGCTATTTAATTTCTAGTCTTTTTCATCTCTTTCCTTTGTGTTTTTTAGATGATTAATTCTTTGGATTAAAAATCTGAAAGTTTTTTGATACAATCATGAATTAATGTTACGAAGTAACAGGACCAATGCTTCTCTGTTTTTGATTTGATAGTCATATAATGGTCATTTTTTCTGAAAACTTGCGTAATAATTTATAATTTATATCAAAACCCTGCCCTTTGGTAAGAGCATTCTGAATATTGATATAGCGACATTTAGCAATACTCTGAATCAAACCTATGATGTTATCTAAGAAAATTGTCATACAAAAACAATTATAGAAGTGTATCAACTCCTTGATGAATAAATCAATTTTGAGTTGTGATTCTTTTTTTTACAATATTCTTCTGTGTTTGTTTGTTTTTTTTTTTTTTCAACCTGAAGATTGTCAAATATTCGTGATTTAGTTCTGAAAAAGAACCATGTTCACTATTCGTCTTCTTACTGATATGCAGGATTTCTCCTGGCATAGAAGAATTAGTCAAGAAGCTGAAGGCTAGGAATATCAATGTTTATCTAATCTCTGGAGGCTTCCGCCAAATGATTAATGTATGTGACCATGCTGCTAAACACATGAAAGAACTTCTATCCTTTACTTCATTTTGTTAAAGCATTATGTGGAATTTCTTTTTTCAAATCAACTTTGATCGCTTCCAATATTTTGATGGCATTGAATAATGGAAATTGGATCTTGAGAAACTGGAGAAAATGAGGCTCATGCCAAATGCAAATAGGCAATCCTTACATGACATTTGGTTCTATGCTGAAAGCAGATGATGACTTGGGAACAACCAATTAGATTTAAGACTATTTAAGTTTGATACTGTCTCTGGAAAGCAATTTAGGATTTCCTGTTCTTAATCTCTGAACATGTTGAACCTGAATTAAATCAGTAGTTAAAAGAAATGCTCAGTCTGAATATTTAAATATCCTAGTTTATAATGCTTAGATTGGAGAAATAATGCTCTTTTACAACCAGACAATGAGATTAAGGATCTAATCTTCTGCTTTATCAGTTTATAGCTGGTACATAGCATGTAGGTTCATTGCTATTGAAAGAGGCATGTCAGTATATATTACTATAATCTTCACAGTTATTAATGGAATGCTCCTCCCAGAAGATAGTTAAGTGAGAAAGTTTGTTTGCAGCCTGTTGCATCAATCCTTGGCATTCCACAAGAAAATATTTTTGCCAATCAACTGCTCTTTGGAAGTTCTGGGGAGTTTCTGGGTTTTGATGCAAATGAGCCTACTTCAAGAAGTGGAGGAAAAGCTGCCGCTGTTCAACAAATAAGAAAGGCGAGTATTGTTTCTGCGTTTTGTATTGCCTGGCTAAAAATTGGATTACTGAGTCTGATTAAAGAAATTTTCCAGGTTAAGGGACATAAAGCATTAGTCATGATTGGTGATGGTGCTACTGATCTTGAGGTTAGTAAATTCATCTGAAATTCCTCTAAATATAGTTAAGTTCATAATTTTTTTCCCAATGACCTTTTCTCTGAATGGCATTTCAGTGCATGAATGTTGAGCACCTATAGGTTATAGCATTGCCCACTGCAGAAGGGCCATTTCTGATTTCTTTACTGGCATATTCATTGCATTTAAGCAGCATTTATTTAATTCAATGGGAATTTCACATTTTCTTTTATCTTCTCCTCCATTTTGCTTCAAACACAGGCGCGTAAACCAGGAGGTGCTGACTTGTTTATTTGCTACGCCGGTGTTCAACTCCGGGTGGCTGTTGCAGCAAAAGCTAATTGGTTGGTCTCTAGTTTCAGAGATCTTATAAATGCCTTGGAGTAGCTTCTTTACTTCCTGATTTCTTTGCCATTTTTCCCCTTCTGTTACAAGTTTCGTGCACCTCTGTATTACGCATGCATTTCTCGTGTTATCGCAACATTTGCTATTTTTTTTTTTGCGACAGCTTAACTGTATAAAACTCAAAAAGGAAAATGAATGAAGAGTGATTGTTGGTTCATGCTTTTTTACATTGTATAAATACCTGTGCGTTACGTATTGCATGTCAAAACCAGATATACACAACTATGAACACAGATGTTGTTTATATCTGGTATAAAAAAAATACAGTAACACAAATGCTAACAGGTTGGGTTGAGTTGAGTTTTTGATCACTCGAATTTTATAAAATAAATATCCTAATCTGACTTGACATTATAAAATGAATATTCAAAACTCGATTTGATAATAAAAGTTTTTTTTTTCATATCTAACTTGATTCACGTATATATAAAATTACAATTACAATTGATTTGACTTAAAATTAATTTAATATAATATTAACAAAATATTTTAAATATAAATTATATTTTAATTATATATAAATATAATATTTTAAATTTAAGTATTGTATAATAATTTTATTAATATAATACATATATATTAATTAAATAATAAAAATTTTATATATATCAAATTAAAATAAATTTATCTAAAATTTGACTTGATTTTATTTTAATAAAACCCAAACCAATTCAAAACACAAATAAAAAAAATGATCCTATAAGTCGGATTGGGTAAGAATCCGTATTATCATCAATCTTAAATACAAATATTTATTAAATATAATTTTTTAATTTGATTTAAGCTCAACTTCAAATATGTCAATCAAAATTATTTTAGTAGATGAAAACCTTTATACTGAAAAAAAATATAAATACTTTTAAAATATATCATTTAATAAATTTAAATTTTTAATTAAAGCTACAGTGGCCTTCCAGGATACTTTTGAACTGCCTTTTTCTGGTTGATTTGTAGATAGAATAAATACCATTAAATTTCTTACCTTATTATTTCTGACACTAAAAATCATAAATGTTTGTGAATTTACAATTAATTTTTCTAAATGTCTGTAAATAACTTTTCATGTCCTACAATTATTAAATCTTCTAATCCAACACCTTATTTTCTTCATGTCAATTCAATCAAATCCAAAATCAAATAGTCCTTTGGGATCTTTTGAAAAAAAAAAAAAAAACGCTAATATATTGACCAATTTGGTGCTACATACCCAAGTCAAATGAGATAAATATTAAGAAATAAAAAGGAAAAAAATAATTATTTAAATTTATGAGATTTTATTATAATTAATAAAATTTTAAAGTTTTTATTTCGGATCAATTGAATCATTAAATATTTATTTTTAACTTAATTGAATTTTCAATTGAATAAAAATGAATGTTAATAATTAATTAATTTTTATTTAATAAAAATTCAATTAATGAAAATAAATATTTAAAAACTTAATTAATTATAATAAAATAATAATTTTTTTATGATCATTGATTTTTTTATTAAATAAAACAATTTAAATAAGATCACAAGAACCCGACAACTTTTATATAAATTCAAACAGGATTGATAATTGGATGATTCATTATTTAAAAATTTTACTCTTTCCGTCCCAAAATGTTTGTCATATTAATTTTTATGAAATTAAAAAAATTGACTTTAATATATTTAATATTAAAATTTAATTTTTTTATAAAATTAAAATTTCATGATTTTTAATGCTAAAAGTAAAAAAATTAAAATATAATTTTAAAATATAAAAAAATTTAAATTTAAATGTTAAAAAAATAGAATTAATTTTGAAACATAAAAAAAAATGAAAGAGAGAGTAAATGATAAATCAAATCCCAACATTTGTATATAAATTTTAATTATTGGGTGGCAGTTGTACCAAATAAAATCAAAGTACTGTTGCGAAGATTAAGTAATGAAAGACAATTTAATAAATAAGAAAGTGTGAAGATAAGATTGTTGGTGGGACTGGGAGTAGATTTGATTAATCCCAGCAACCAAACGCCATTGTATTTTCCTCCCTGTCAATGGGCGATCATATCGAAGGACAAAGGCCAGTCACAGTCACATTATTCTCATTTCTCATTTAAAAAAAAAAATCACATGCAGCGGCCTTTTTGCAAGTTGCAAAAGATGGAAAGACAGATATTTTCTGTTTGGAAAGGTAGAAATTTTGGGACCCGTTGGGCCTGGTGTTAGCCTGTTAGGTTTACATGCTTGACATTGTCTGCCACCAAAATATTAGAATGAATAAGAAGCAGGTTCCTTTTCTTTAAGGAGGAGGTTAAATCTTTTAAAAGTCTGCAAAATTGAACTTTTATATTACTGAGGTTAAAATTTTCTTACGTTTAATTTTTTAATTTTCATTATTTTTGAAGATATTGAATGAATTGATTGAAAATTATGTGATTTTACGATTTTTTTTCTTTGTAAGAGATTAATCGTAAAAAAAATGAAAATTTCACAATAACTGTAAATCCCACTGAGAATATAAATTAGTATTATATTTAAAAAATAAATTTTAATTTAAATCATTAATAAAAATAATCAAATGATTTTATTGATCCATTCGAATAATTAAACGTTTTATAATTAGTGAACTGAATTTATTACCACAACCTTAATTTTTCAAAAAAATCATTAATTGATTTAAATATGTATTATTTTGTTAACTTAAATTTAAAAATTATATTATTAACGAATGTGATAGTTTTTTGGTAATTTATATATATAAATTAGGAATGTTATCACACGAAATATTCCATATACTACTTAAACACTATTTTAGCTTTTATGGTAAATTTGGCTTAAATTAATTAACTAAAATTACCCATTTTGGATTGGGATTTGGGAGTTGGGACTTAATTATATTTCAAGTGATTTTTTTTTTTTTTGAGAGGAAATATTTCAAATGATTTAAAAATATTATTTTTAAAAACCAATAAATATACTTTAATTTTTTTTATATAGTATATTTCAATGAGGGACCATATAGCTTGCCGGCCCTTTTAGGCTGCCGTTTTCTAAACTCATAGAAGTAAAAATCCAAAAAAACCAAAACTATCTAAAAAATTCCTGTGAATAAAAATCCAAAAAATGGACTAGTTGGTTGTTTTTATCGTGAAAAAGGCAAGAAAAAGGGATGAGAAACATGAATGGGTGCAGTAGAATGTAGCCTGTGTAGATAACAGACCAACGGGTCTTATTGTTCCAAGGAATCCAATCTCTTAGATTCAACAATAACAAAGATATCTTCTTTGACACTTGGGTCCTCTAGATTTTGCTTTGCAGCTTAACTGATTCTCAGAAAAAGGGTAAGCCCTTTTTACCCTTCCATCTTCTTGTTATTGTTGAAGCAGCAAAGCCATTTTTTCAGCTTCATTTTTGGTGCAAATGGGTTCCTTCTGTTGATTGGTTTTGCAGTGCTGAGGTTGTTTTCAAATGGGTAAAGCTTGGATTTTTTTATCAATCTGACAACTGGATATTTCTTTTGGGGTTGCTGTTTCTGACATCTAAACTTTTTGTCTTAGGAAATGGGATTTTGTTAATATGTAGGTTCGGCCTTCTATAGTTTGCGTCCAGTTGAATAAACTTTAGGCTTTTGGCTGCTATTCGGGTTGCTGTTGTTTATAACCTAGTGTTTGATTGTCTGAAGATCAGAAATTGAGGAAGCTGATATTTATTTTTTCCTTTAGTTTTGTATTGGTTGGTTTATTATTTCATTGTCTTGGGCAAGTTTCTGGAATTGATTATTGCTACAGAAAAAGTGGAGGAGATTCCATACTGGCTTGCACATTGTTTTCTGTTTTGTGAGAAATTAGGTTCTTGTAAGGGAGACAAAGGAGAAAGAAGATTTCATTCTCTTCTTGATATTGTGTTGAAGTGCTTAAGGCTGTTTGACTTGTGAGGCCAAGGATTTTTTTTTTTTCGAACTCGAGTTCATGGAAGTTGTAGCTTTAAGGTTTTGGATGTTGGGAATTGAAATAAAGGTAAACTTTTGTGCTGTAGAACTTGAGTAGTTTCTGAAATCTCTGTGGACAAGCAGATATGGATTCATGGCTTGTTGCAGCAGCAGCTGCTGCTGCTGGATATTTTGCTAAATATTGGCAAAATCTTTCAAGGGATAGAAATGACTTTCCAGAGTTTTCTTCTGTGGATTCAAGAATTGGAAAGGTTGAAACTGCGAAGGGTTTCCGCAAATTTTCTCGGAGAAGGAAACTCCAAGAAGATGTTTCTTTGGAGGGAAGAGCGGATTCAGATTTTTATGGACTAATTGTTGCTTCAGCTGCAGAAGTGGATTCTGCAAGTGGATTTGATGCTGAAAAGGTGGGAAGCTTGGGAAATCACACAGATCGCAATGTAATTTCTCTATCAAATTTGGTACCTGGGTTCTTGACCAATGAAAACTTAAGAGATCAATGTGGAAAGGGGCCTGGTGTTGATAGTGGTGGTAATTCTGCTAAACCTTCTAGTGCTAGAGTGGACTCTTTTAATGAACCAATGAGGAAAAGAAGCTCTCTTAAAACTAAATATTCATATGGACATTTACTTAAACCCCGAAGTTCCTTAGATGGTTGCCTCATGGCTCAACTATATATGCAACACGTTAAAATGGAAGAGTACATACTTAGTTCCCTTCCATCATCATCATCAACACCAATCTTGAGACGACCATTGCTCATAACTGATGGAAGCCGAATAATCAACAAAGCAAGTGGTGATTTTTCTAATGAATCAAATGGTACTGGGGACAGTAAGCTGCATGATGAATCCACTTTCGAAAAGAGTGGATACGTGTTTGGGATTCCTCCATTGCCGAAAATTGAGTCTTTGGATCTCCCCAAGAAGTTGAAATTTAAGAGAGGAACTGGGTGCGATGGAAGACTGAGCATTCCTTGCAAAATGGATACTGAAAAGCAGTTTCATTCACAATGGGGTACTGTTCTTAAGTTGTTCAATTTTGCTTTTACCTTTTATTTCAATACTATTTTGAAAAAGTGAGGGGTTTTCTTAATACTTTCATTGCATATACTTAGAATTCAAATAAACATTTTATTTGATTAAAATTTAAAAGAAAAATGAGAAGTTCTGATTACTGAGTGTTATTTTCTATTTCCTAATTTATTTGCTTGCTAAATGTGTTAGATATTGAAAGAAAAGTGAATCAAAAATATGTATTTACTGTAGGTTAAATAAAGAGTACAAGCATGCTACCATCATATTTGTGGGTGTGAACAAGTTACAGCTGCTCCATTCTGTTGTGAAGCTCAGGAGTGTCACTGTTTTCTTCTTTTTGTTTGTCATTTTTTTTGTTGGGGGGGGGGGGGGTTGTAGGGGGAGGCATATTCGGGTTGTAAAATATTATACCAATTAGTTGGACCTCCAAGAGTTCAAAAAGAAACGGAATAAAAGTAGAATCAATTACCTTTTCTCCATCTTTATCATGAGTTGAACTGCATTAGAAAAGTTTCTTATGCTTAATTCTTTGTTACTTAGACTTGAGAGTGTCAGTTACGGGTATGCATTCAACACAGGTGCATTCTAGTTTTTCTAAGTATTTCCTTCTATTTGGAGGGTTGGACCTCCATACCCACGTCCATTGGATATGTGTCAGACACATGTACTTAAAGTAAAATGAAGATTCGGAGGGATTTCTAATGCCTCTTGAACCATTTCTTTAGTTTGGCACTTATAAGTTCTTTTCAGAAACCAGTTAGCTTAATGCAGAAGAAGAACGTGATTTGCCATTTAATTTTATTTATTTGCTTTTTGTTCTAATTTCTGCACATAAGTATGGTTCCCTTGCTTCATTGAACCAGAAGCAATAGAATTTCCAAGTCACTTGTTATCTTAGATGTATTCGTTTAAATACTTAATTTGTTCATTACAATTATGATTTTTCTCTTGTAGTCTAGTCAACTGCATGGTCTAATCCTTTTATACTTAACAGGTTCACGTGATGGAGCGGTTCTGTTTTGTCTTGGGATTTCTATTGGTATAATATCTTCTTACATAGGAAATAGAAGGGAAGTGGAGAAATTGAGAGGGTTGTTAAAGAAGACGGAGAACTTGGTTCAAGATCTTCAAGAGGAACTTGAGATGAAAGATTCATTGACAGTGAAGGAGATAGCTTATGAGAATTATGAATCAGGGGAGACATATGACAATTCCTTTCATGGCAGAGCAACAAATTCATCTTCACTTGAACTGAATATGGATAATTTAACTAGATATGATGGTAAAGAATCATATTGTGAAAAGGTAGGGGAAAGTTCGGAGTCTATGAGTAAAATTGAAGCAGAGCTTGCAGCTGAACTTGAGAGGTTGGGTCTAAACATGAATGTATCTAATTTCGAGAGAAGATTATCTGATCTTGTTGAGGTAAGCTTTGTTTATCTTTGCACCTTGGAGCTCTATAGATGGTTTAATGAATGCTTTTATTCATTGCAGTTGCATCAGCCCTGTGTATGACTGTACCAGTTCTTTTTCATTCTAAATACCATGGAAAGATACTTTTTATCCTTTTTGTTCCTTACGTAATTATATAGTTTTTTTTCCCATGAAATATGGATTTTATATTTTTGGTGATGGTTTATATTTTCTTTCATATGCATATTTGTAAGGAATCTTTGCTTGGATGTCTTAATAATACAGCTAAAAATTCATGCAGCTTGACCCAGATTTTGTAGCAGATTTTGCTGAAGGTGAATTGAGATCTGATATGGTCAATTGTCAGGCTCTTGTCCAATCTGTGTCAAATGAAGATAGAAGTGGCACCTTAACTACTCATTCTGGAAATTATGCAGTCTCACCTCGAGAGTTGAGCTTGCGTCTACATAAAGTTATTGAATCAAGGCTTGAAGAACGTATACAGGAACTTGAAACAGCCCTCCAGAACAGCCAGAGGAAGGTGAAACTAATGGAATCAGAGCATAAGAATTCTTGGAAGATTTCTAACAGTGAATGCAAATATTCCTCCACCCTGGAGAGTCCACAAATCAATGATGACTTCGATTGCATGTCCAAGCCTCTAGTTATGAAACTATCAGGGGAAGCTCTAGATGCATACAATGAGGCTTGTGAAGAGTTGTTGAAGGTAGATGAGTCAGAAGAAGAGGATGCGCCATCAGATATTTATCAAAATAACCATCGAGAGGAGCTGCACAAGGGATACATGTCTTGGGGCTGTCAAAATGCTAAGAATACATCAGAGGAGCCTTTTCATGGTGAGGGAAGAACACGGGAAGTGCAACCTTCAAGGGTCCAGGAATTACTTGATGTTGGTGCAAGTGAAGATGAATGCAGTGATTATTGTGATGATGAGATGGAGAAGCAACTGATACAGCAGATTCTGGAGAAAACCAAGAAAGGATCTCCTGTACTGCTAAATGCGCAGAGGATATTGTTTTCTATGGATGAAATTTAACATTGAGATTATAATGAAAAAAATGGGGGAACTGAAATTTTTGCAGCGTATACCTCTATATATTTACCATGTCTAAGTCAAATCCGATCCATAAACATCTCTAAGTAGAGTTGTATTTTTAACCAAAGCAATTTCCCATTCTTTTTTTTTATTGTATTCTAACTAAATCTATTGTTCATACAAGGATTTTAATTAATTTTTCTTCAAAAACAAGAAATGAATATCTAAGGTAAAAGCGAATAAAATTCCATGAATTTCTATGATCAATGACTACAGACAGATTTTTCCAACTAGCCACCTCTGCAAGAGTGTGTGTGTGCGTGTACAAGAGAGAAGGGCGGCAAAATAAAGCAGCAGCCTGGAACTTTAAATTATTTTGCCATGGAAAATTCAGTTTTCTCTATGAGAAACACTCAAAAGGTATCAATGTATACAGATACAGTCACATAAATGAGAAATAAAAATTATAAAATAGTTCAGACAAAGGAGTTATGAGAACTAAAAACTAAAACCAAAATAATCTACTATTAAAGCAGAGTACAAACAAGTTTTATCAACCAACTTAAAGACTTATTTCATGCCCTTTTGGCGAAATCACCAGTATCATCCTCCTCGTTCAGTGGATCATTTTGGTCAAAAGCTCCTGCTTCGTCCTTGGAGCCATCTTCAGCACTACCAAGTTGATCACCACTACCAAATCCCACATTGTCACCTTCATATCCGCCTGAACCACCAGTAGAAAAACTATCAGTGCCGCCACCATCACCAGCAACATTGAAACTTCCACTATCGTAATTGTTAGCACCAGATTGACCAAACTTACTTCCATAGCCAACACCACCAGTGCCATAGTTATCACCACCATAATTTCCTTGGCCTCCATAGTTACCACTGCCACCACTATTACCATATCCAACATTACCTCCATAATTTCCAGAAAAGGAATCAGCATTTCTATCATAGCCACCACCTCCATAATTACCACCACCATAGCCACTACTGCCATAGCTGCCACCACCATAACTGCTATTAAAACCTCCACCAGGGGCACCATAGCCAGCGCCACCACCTCCAAAGTTACGAGGAGGTCTCTCAGCTGCATAGTTTACTCTTACTTGACGGCCAAGAAGAGGCTGCAACAAGAATTCAGACAGACGAATACTTATCAACCAAAAACTCCCATGAATTGTTACTAAAGATATGAGATCACAAGCAATTATGTTAAGCCTTTCTGTAAAATGTAGATGATGATAAAACTACTCTTTTCATGCATTCTTATTTAAACCAGACAGATTACCCCAAAAAGGGAGATAATGATAAAACTATGCATGACAAATCTACTATTTAGACTTACTTACATCCCCAAATTAAAGCCTAAATAACTTACTTTTTAAGTAAAGAAGATTATTCATAAGAGTGAGAGAGTGTGAGACCGTTAAGCAAACTTAATGTGTAGCTTTTACTGAATGGAATAAAGCAAAGAAATGGAATGCATCTGACTGAAAAGAGTTAAGAGTTCTTCTGTTACTTGCAGATATGAACGTGAACCAAATAAGATGGCAAGGGCACACCAGTGATCATGAACATTGAGGTCAAGATAGAAAAGACACTATCTTAGCAGACATTAACATATAAATATATTTTAGATGCAATAATTTCAAATCTACAAGTATGAACAAGAGGCTGGTTGACTGAGTGAAATGCATCTGTTTCAAAATTTTAAGGAAAGGGGCCTAGATGAAATTTGCCAGCACAATGCAAAAGCTTTCACCGGAGTTCCAGAACCATGAAGAGAACAAAAAACCTAGGAGGATTATAAAATGCAAAGAAGTGCGTTACATTCTAATTTCGATTGGTTTGTACTGGGTTGTATACACTTATGAGAATGTTGCATTTTTTCGCCTTTATGTTTAGGTAATGAAATAATGCACTCTGACCAATTCTATTGCTATTGAAAGGAAGCTTGATACAATCAGCCATTATCAAAGGTTTTTAGGGAAGAAGATCACTTGCTCATTGTAAAATACGTCAGGAATAAGGATTTCAGAAACAACAAGAAGCTGTGGGTATTTCCAAACCACCAATATCAGAGTAATAAGTAATAATTATAAAAACTAAATGCTTATATTACCTGTCCGTCCAAGGCCTGTATTGCACTGGAAGCATCCTCAGTACTGGTGTAAGTGACAAAGCCAAATCCTCTGGACCTTCCTGTTTCTCTATCCAAAATTACTCTTGCTGTAAATATCAAACTAATCAGCACTTATTACAAAGTCAAAACCAGCGAAAAGCAAACAAAGACAACTGCAATTTTGAGATTCAATAATTTAAAAAAAGAGGAAAAATCTGTTAGTGCACCACTAGCACAAGCACTCGGACATTCACAAACTCAAAGTTACAAAAAATCATTCATTTCCAGAGTAGTTCATGGATGGCATCTAAATGTTTCTACAACATGTCTTAACTCAAAAACATAAATAAACATAATACTTTACAGGACACGTAGAGAATTAGATTCAAGCGTCTCAAGGCTTTTCAATCCCCTTCATCATGATACTAGCGAATTGAATTCAGGAACAGATTCATAGTATCATACCTTCAATAACTTCACCATATTTGCTAAAAGCTTCTTTCAGACTTTGATCATCCGTTTGGTATGAAATACCTTCAATTAAAAAAAAATTAAAAGAAACCCTAAGCAAAACAGGGAAGGGAAAATGGTTTGATGCTACAATGGAAAGGAAAGCTGGATGTACCTCCCACAAAAAGTTTCGAGCTTGGCGAGGTTGACATGCATCTAAACACTTGAAAGAGGCCTGGTCTTGATGCAGACAACTGAGCATCTATCTGCATGCTAGTGGTCTGCCTTAGTATATTCCCAACTTTACTTAGGAAAGCCATTGATACAACCTATTAGAAGAAAAAAAATTAAAAGTGTAGATTCAGCCAATGAATTTGATAAAGTAAATTAACAAAAAGTTAGTACTTTCATTTTCAAAGACCTGACTTGTGGGATAACAATGGATTTAATAACATACCAGAGGCAAACAAGCTAACAAGCTATAATAAAATATGAAAATTTTAAACAAAGTGCAAGAAAAAGGGCTTACTACAACAATGAACAATCACTCTTATATTGTACTAACAAGACTGCTTCTAAGTAATGCATAAGAGCCATCAACTAATATTAAGATGCCAAACATAAAACATAGAAATAATCAAAATATATATGCCATTTTCAGCTAGGAACAGTATAGGGCAAAATCTATAAACATACCAACAGACCTGTTTTACAATATTTAAATTTTTTTTATTGATTTTTGCGTTTATAACTTTTAAACCCCAAAACCAAAAAGACCCAAAATTTTGATTTTCTAAAGAACAATTCTTTCCTTTTTTCCAACCTCAAATGCCACAAAAAACAAACAAACAACAACAACAACAGTTAAAGGTTCATTTTCAATCATTCCCAAAAACCCAATCCTTGATTGATCTTAAGTAGCCAAACAAGAACAATCCAAGCCAATTTTAAAATATTCATATGAAACATCGAAACAGGAATCTAATGCGATAAGAAAAATAGAAAAAAAAAAAAAAACCTATAAGGACACAGTAACCAAATGAAACCCTTTCAAAGAAAACAAAAGAACAGCCAAAAGAGAAGATTAAAATGAAAAATGAAAAAGAGTGTAAGGGCATAGAAAGTTTAGGGCTTTTCTCGAAGCCTACCCTTTTGTTTATGGGACTGAGACAAAGGGACTCTCGTGTTTGTTTTCTGGTTTCTTTCTCCGAGTAAAACCCTCGGGGGTTTATGTAGATGGTGCGGCGTCCAGAATCCAGATATTTTCGCTGAAATTTTTCCACGTGGGAACTGTTTATTGGGCTGTGTTTTTCGCATTTTAACAGGTTAACCATGTTAGATTTTTCCACTTGACAAATAATAATAACTTTTTTTTTCTGAAAAATGTAAAATATTTGGGTAAAAGGAACAAAAGGGAGGATGAGAACGGAAATTTTGAAAATTAATTCAAAATTGAATTGTTTAATTTGATTTGAAATTTTTTTATTTAGTTTGAATTAAATTCGAATATTAAATATGTATATATATATATAATTTGGATCAAATTTGAATTGGGATTCGAAAAATAAAAAATTTGAATTGAGCAAAATTATATATTTTTATTAATTTTTATATTTTTTAAATTTGTATAAAATAAAATTAATTATTATATATATAAATTTATTTAAATATATTAAAATTTATATTAAAATTTAAAATAATAAATTGAATTGATACAATTTAATTCAAATTATATCAATTTAAAAAAATTTTAATTCGAATTCAACTCAATTTTTTTAAAAATTTATAATATTATGCGTTATTTAAAAAATATGATTAAATTAAATATGATCCAAATGATTAATATGATCCATTTGAGAACCGACTTGAATGTATTATAAAATACCATCTTTTGATGAAATAAAAGTCTTTTAATAAAACACAAAAAAAATTTATGATTTTATGTTACTTTTTATTTTTTTATATTTAGAAGTAAAAGTTAAAAGTCAATTTTTTAGATCAATAAACATAAAATTAAAACGCTTGAAGATTATTGATTTGAAGGAGTTTAGGCATGTTATACATTTTTCAACAAAATAAATATAAAAATAAGAAGTTCAAGGGTAGATTAAATTTAAAGAAAAAAAGTAAATTTAAAAATTACATTTTAAAAATAAAACTAAATACTACTAATTGTTAAGAAGAATTTTAAAATCATATAATAACAAAATATATTACTATTACTTTTATTAGTGAGCTGCCCTCGCTTCGCCAAAGGTATAAATTTTTTATACTTATTATTTTATTTTTTTATGCTAACAAGAAATAAGATAAGAAGCTTTAATATTGTAATTATCTTTTTTATTTTTAGATCAAAATAAGCTTTTATTGATTATCAAATGATAATACATAAATTCAATTCTATAACTCATTCATCTAAATTTTTATGCTTCAAGTATACTTAAAAAAAAAAGTTAAAAAAATTATCATATAAAACATCATTTATGAAATAAAAATACTCTAATAGGTGAAACTAAAAAATACTCTAGAAAATTATAAATTATTAATTCATTATCAACTTTGAAGCTTTTCATTGATAACATTTAAAACAATTAAAGAAAAAAATAAAAATGATAAAAATTTCTTATGGTATGAAATAAAAGGTACCACTTTCATCTTATTGAGATAGAAAAAAAAGGCTTTCAGGATCATATAATCCTACAATGAAAGCTGTAAGAATCCACAACATGAATAGGCCTATTATGGAAATTCTTTAATACATGGTCACAGCTTCCACTCTGATCAATATTATCTTGACAAATTACAATAGGTGTGGATATATCCTCACTGTTGCCAACATCTTCATTTGCTTGTATCTTATTAATCTGTTTGTATATGGGCGCTTTACATAATGAACACCAATATTTAAACATTTTGTGCACCTACAATCTCCACTAAAATATGATGGAAAAATTCTCCAAGACAACCTTGAGGAACATTTTTCCTCCAATTTTTAACTTTTTCCTAGTAATTGGTTTCAAAACTTGAGAAAAAGCACAGATCTGTGGTTAAACAAAAGACAAACAGAAAGAAAGGTAAAATTAACACATTTGAAGCCAAAAAAGAAAAGAAAAAACCTGAAGAGCCAAGAGAAAACACATTTATATTTGAGTTAGAGAAGTAAATTTAACCTAAATAAAAGTCTAAGTAATGACACAAAAAACTAGAGGAAGCCGTATAATAGACAAACAACTAAAACAATTGGGATAATGGTATTGCAAAAGGGTAGAACAGGATCTTATTATTTGCATAAGAATTTTGAAAGGAGATAATCTTTCACAATCTACTAAAATTGTAACTTCAGGATTTTTTGGATTGACTAAATGCATAACTCTGCACTTTACTTGAGATACTGTAGTAGCAACTAATTTGTCTTTATCATAAAATTTCTTGCTCTCTTTAATCTTTGGTGATAAAAATGGTTTTAACCTCTATTTAGATTTTTTATAAGGTTCATATGGACTCATAAATACCTATTATTGTCACAAAGGTTGAAACTATAAATACCCATTGTCAAATATCTACAAAATAATCAATGTCTTAAAAATAGGGTCAATGTTAATATTGTTATTTTTAATTATATGACACTTTTTCAATGAATTAGATATGAATCTAATAAGAAATTATTGTCAATTAATCATTAAAATTCCTATAATGAGATACCTTATTAAAATATATAACTATCCGTAGAAAGACAAAGTATTTTTTTCAACTTGAGGCATTTAGCTAAGGATAAAGCCTAAAATATGACTTTGTAAACCATTCAACACGATACAATTGAAATTGGAGTGGGTTAGTAAAAATAAAACTACTTGGTGGGAATATGTATAGGCCATTACCCTTTCTTTTTTGATGACTACTTTTCATCTTTGTCTGTATTATGATCCAACAATCAACTTAGTTTTCATTTTTGTAAGAAAATATTTATTTACAGCTGGTTGTAATATTGTAATCTATATATTTATATTTGTATCTCTAGAATTAAGTATTTGTATCCCTATAATTGAGGACAAAACATTAGGATAGACAATCTCTCAATTATAGGATCTATTTTTAGAAAGATTTAGTTTCCTAATTAACCCCTAGTTAGTTGTATATAAATCTAATATTTTTGTATAATTCTTTATGAGCAATTTTTCAATATACATTCAGTTTTTTTCTCTTAATTTTTCACATAATTTTATTTCTTAATTTTTTCACATGGTATAAGAGCTTTAAGCTTTTCTTGGGAAGCAAAATTTTTAGCCTTCATTGCTGACTTCTATTTTGGGCCTTCATTGTCGAACCTTATTAAGGCCTTCATAGCTATTCTATTTTTCTCTTTTTTAGCCTTTATTGCTAAGGGTCATTTCTGGTAATATCTTAATATTTGTTTCAGTTCGAAAAAAGATATCACTACTACCTATTTGAGAAAATGTAAACTGAAAAAATTATCAGAGACTACAGATGTCTCAAAAACAAAGAGAATTAGACAGAGAAGAGATTGAAAAGCTGAGAAACCTATTGAAAACTCTTGAAAAGCTTATTGTGGTATGTTCTTTGGATAAAGTCTTTAGTTCAGGTAAAGCTTCTGGTTTTTCATGGATTAAATGTCGTGGTTAAGCCTATTATGAGTTTTTGGGTCATTAACTCAGGAGTCACAGATCATATAACACATTTTTCATAGAAGTTTAGTACATATACCATGTGTCTAATAATAAAAAAATTATTGTTGCAGATGGTTTACTTACTATAGTGGCAAGATTAGGAGATGTTGAAGTTAATCCCTCATTTATTCTAAAAATATTCTTCATGTTCTTGGATTATCTACTAATTTGATATCTATACAAAAACTTACCAGAGATATGAATTACAAAGTGACTTTTTATCCCTCTTATTATGAATAAGATCGAAGTTCGAGAAAGAGGATTGAACTTGCTAAGAAAAAGGATGGACTATACTATCTTGAGACATCAAATAACACAAGTAATATCAAGAATAGTTTACCTTTGTCTTTTTTTTTTTGAAAAATCTTTCAATAAAGATAAAATCTGGCTTTATCATTTTCGTCTTAGACATCCTTCTTTTGAAACTTTGAAAAACATGTTTTCTTCTTTGTTAAAAGGATTAAGTGTCAAAAATTTTTATGTGATGTTTATGAACTTATAAAGCACAGAAGCGTGTTTTTTCTAATTAGTAACAAAAAAAGTTCTACTCCCTTTTTCTTGATTCACAATGACATTTGAGGTCTCTCTATAATTTTTAATATTTCTAATGCAAGATGGTTTGTTTCATTCATAGATGATTATACCAGGGTCTCTTAGATTTTCTTACTTAAATCCAAATTAGATGTGAATAGTATATTTTTAAACTTCCAAAACATGATCCAAAATCAATTTAGAGTGATAATTAAGAGATTTAGGTCTGATAATGCAATAGACTATTTCAACCAAAGTTTATCCACCTATTTCTAAAATGAGAGAATTATCCATGAGTCATCTTGTGTTAATACTCCACAACAGAATGAAGTGACAGAGAGAAAAAATAACCATTTACTAGCCACAACTTGAGCATTTTTTTTTTCAAGTAAATGTACCCAAATCTTACAGAAAAAAGCTGTTCTTATTGCCACACATATTATAAATAGGTTACCTTCAAGGGTTTTGGGATTTAAAACTCCTATGAAACTATTCTTACAATTCTATCCCAACTTTAATACCACAAATAACCTCACACCTATGATATTTGATTGTACATCATTTGTTCATGTTCACAGTCATAATAGGAAAAAATTGGATCTAAGAGCGATTAAGTGTATCTTTATAGGGTATTCATCAACTTAAAAAGAGTATAAGTGTTATCATCCTATTACCAAAAAATTATATGTTTGAAGAAGTTACTTTTGAAGAAAGTAAACTATTTTTTACTCAATCTTATCTTCAGAGGGAGATTTCATTCATAGAAGATAATGATAAAGACTTCTTTTTGCTTGATTTGTCATTTTATTCAACATTTTCACCCATTAATTCTTCTGAATCGAAACTTGTTTTTACTGAGCTCAAGTCAAACATTGAATTTGAGTCTGAACCCATTCCAAATACAGAAGATGTGACAAAGGATAATATTGTTCTTGATTCTATGAAGAAATTACAAGTGTACTCAACAAGAAAAGTTTTAGATCCTGAACCAATGCCAGTCCAAGAACCTGATCCTAACTCTGGAAATGATGTAACTACAGTTTTTGACTCTGTTTCTCAAAATGAACATGAATTTTCTAAAACTATAACTAGTGATTATGATCTATCTATTGCCATTAGAAAAAAAATCAGAA